CTTTGCAACTGCCGTTGTGAGAAGGACAAAAGGCCGTTGTTGGGGCTCTTACTTACGCAGTTACTTTCTCCTACAAACAATTTGAGTGCCTACTTTCATGTTTTGGTGCCTTATGTAAGTGGCTGCTTTGTATGAAACAAGGCGTTGCTGGCCTTGTGAGCTGGGGACTGGGACTGCTGTGCCGTTGGGCACTGGGGAGGGCCTGCCCAGCTGCCAAGGTGGAGGTGGCACTTCTCTGCAGGACGACCTTCTGCTTCCAGATGAACTTCTTGTGCCAGGGCTTGTTGCTGTGCAGGAATGGTAGAAATAGACGGAAACCCCTAGGGCAGGGGAAAGGTTTGAGTGATGGAAGTTCCTGGCATGGAACATACTGGTTTGTTTGGTTAGTTTTTCAGTAATTTTAAAAAGTGAGATGATCTGTAATGGGATAGATGACACTAACTGCATCTGACCATCCTAATGTATTCCACATGCTTATCATCACAAATATTGTTAGTTTTCAGCAAGGACTTTGTGCACAGGTAGAAAGATGCAAAGTCTCTGAGTTTCAAAGCTTTCTTTGTACACATTTGTGTCCTTCTGTTTTACATGACTCATGGAACTACACGTTGTATGTCCTGTGTAGCCACTGCTCTGCTAGTGAAATTAATAGCTAGCTGCATGGTGGTGGAAGGTGCTAGTCCTTGCCCTGGGACTTCAGTAAGCAACTTTTAAAATAGAGTTCCCTGAAAGCCAGGAACTCACTTGCCACTTGAGGGAAGAGGTGGTGGTGCTTTGTTCTGCCATGCTGAGTGCTGGAACTATTGCAGTAAGAAGTGCAGAAAGTGCTTCAAACCTGCTTGGCAATAAGAAAACACACTTTGTGTGTTGTTCCCAGACAGGCATCTGGCCTGTTCAGGTGGGCCCGGTGGGAAGAGCACACCGATCTTCTGGAGGTCAGAAGACCGGCTTTCCTTCCTGCTTGTTGCCTGTTTGCTTTGCAACCTGCGAGTCATCTCTTGCTGTGTTTGTTTTGCTTGTTTTCTAGATGGCAGGCTGCTCAGCAGAGGAGATGCTTTTTACTTCTGTGCAGGATTTGGACAAATGTAGCTTGAGGAAAAGTTCTGCAAGTGGCTAAGAAGTCAGTCACTAATTTTTGCTAACCAAATTGTAGCTGGGATAAATTTGCCTGAAGAGTACTTTCCTTTATTGAAAATGATACCACAGCATTATACACAATGAGTTTAGACCCATGTAAAAGTACTCGTGCTAGCTAAGTTTTTCCTATTTTAAATGTGCTTGAAGCTGCTTCAAAGCAGAAGCTTTGCTGCTCTAGGGAAAAGTGCTTTAACTCTAGATACTGCATAAATTTACCACTGACTCTCAGATTTTCTTTGACCTGCCTCTGTAATATAGCTTGTAAGGGAGAGATCCTTCAGTTAATTGATGGAATAACCTTATACCTCCAACTCAAGGCTATTGCTAGACATGATTTGCTTACTTGGATGCACTGTTTGGTATAGCCCATGGCAGGAGTTGATAGAGCATTTCAATTCAGTCTCATAAGGTTTTGTTTCTACTAGTAGTGGAAATGAGACTGATTAAAAGGAGGTGAAATTATGACCTTACTGAAGTTACTAGGAAAGCTGCCGTTGACTGAGGCTAGGATCTCAGCCAAGGCTTCTAGCTGTTTAATTTATGGTAACATATTAATTGAGTTGTATTAAAACAAGGTTTTGAAAAAGTTAATCTTTAGCTTCATGATACCATCTCCATTCCATAAATATTGTACATAGTGTTACTAAAAGTTTACCTTTTTTGGGCAGGTTGATAGAGGTAGAAGATTTTAATTTATAATCTGTGTGTTTGCATTCCTGGGGGAGAACTGAAGTACGCAGATGTCATTATTTCTATAAATGAAAAGGACTTTATCCTAAGTCTTCTAAGTCTTCTAATTCTTTTATATTATATAGCAGAGCTATCTGACACCGTATCCTGCAGGAAATATTTGGCATACTTGTAAGCTCCAGGGAGAGGAGAACTAGGATGATAACATCCATTAGTATTGGCTTTGAATGAGAACTTGCATAAAGACTTTCTCTGGGGGGAAAAAAAAATCCAGTATTAGATTTAAAGGCTTTTTAGCAGAAGGCATGTATTGCAAGCTTTTGACCTTCCTGTGCTGTATGAAGCTTTGCCGGTGTGTACACCAGAAAAACTTGTTGATTAGAAGACGCTTCTAAAACTGTGCTGTCCTCCTAGAAATCGACATCTGGACTGTATTGTACTATTTTCCCTGGATGTGTCAGAGTACATTTTCCTCTTAAAATTTAATAAACTTCGTTTCTGTATTTTGACGGAAAAGTTAATTTGTCTAGTTTTAAAGGCATGGCTGATAGTGCGTTCCCAAGCTCTTCTGACAATAAGAACAAATTGTATTGTTTTAAAATGTAAATGTGTATTTTGCTGTATTTTTCTTCCTTCTCTTACCTGCTGGAATAGTTTTAGCATTAAGCATATTCTAATACACATCTAGAAACAGGCAAGACTGCTTTTATTAATGCTTGTAGTCATGAATTATGTTAATGTAAACACTGCAGTAAACGGGAATCTAGAAAGAAAGACTTGGGAAGCAAGGATTGGCATCTGAGATGTGAGGGGTTTTTTCTGCTTGTCAGTCTTCACATTTGTCTTATATGTGGTGACTCTGGTCTGGGTAGAAATGAGAGATTTTTTTTTTTTTCTCCTTAAGAGTCAAAGTGTGTGTTCTTAGACCCAAAGTACACCCAGTTTCTGTGTTGCGTATTGATGGTATCTTGGCAAAAAGGAAACCCAGTTATCCATTAGCTAATTCTCAGAGTAATCTTTGTAACCAGCTCTTCAGGTAATACCTTCCAAGTTTTTTCATGCAGTGAGCAAAGCCAGCACAGTCAACAAGCTTCCAGGGAACCACGCTATCTCTGGAAAGCTTTGAGTAATTGAGTGCAGTGATAACTGATTTTTCATATTCTGTATTTTTCAATTATGTCTGTCTTGGTTTTGAGGAAAAATATGGATCAAAAATTGTTTTAGACATGTTGATGTAATTGCTTCTGAGAAGCAGGTGCCATCAGTAAAACTGGGTGCCTTGGTTAACCCTCTAGTATTGCAGGCCACACTTTGGTAACTGGGGCTGAGATACATATCCCACAGGTTGTCTGCAGAATCATTTTTTTCAGTGTTTTCAGTTTAAAAGGCTTCTCCTGCAAAACCTTGGGACTGGTGCTGTTCTCCTGGGTCAGAGGGATGAGCTGTTTCACCTGAAGCTTGTGCCTAGCTCTTGTAGGCTGCTCTTGTGTCATGAGCTTCCTGAGCTGCTGCAATCCCTGTTCTCACTCAGGGATGGAGAAATGCACATACTTTTGTCTTGCACATACTCTTAGCAAGAGGTCACCTCTGCTTGTGCATTGTCCTGTGAATTTTCAATGATTTAAGAGGATTGGAGGGTGAGATTTGTTTGAATCTGTTGTCTTTAAGAATCTGGGGCAATATCCTTTCTGTATATGCAAATTTGAAATTTCAAGTGCTATATTACCTCCTTTCTGTAGATGTTAAGTGTGAGAGTAGTGATGCTTCTGAACTTCCTATCTGATCAAGAAGGGCAGGTATGAAGGTGCTGAATACCTAGGTAAACACAGACAAACTACAAAACTGGGGCATGCAGCGAGGAAGTCTCTGGGGATACCTTATCTCAGCCTTCCAGTACCTGAAGGGGCTACAAGAACACTGGGAGGTGGAATGATGTGGACTTTTTACATGGGCCTGTAGAGACAGGACAAGGGGTGATGGGTTTAAATTGGAGTGAGGAGGTTTAGGTTAGATATCAGGAAGAAGTTCTTCCTGGAGAGGGTGGGGAGGCACTGGGACAGGTTGCCCAGAGAAGCTGTGGATGCCCCATCCCTGGAAGTGTTCACGGCCAGGCTGGATGACGCTTTGAGCAACCTGGTCTAGTGGAAGGGGTCCCTGACCATGGCAGGGCTTGGAACTAGATGGGCTTTAAGGTCCCTTCCAACCCAAACCATTCTGTGATTCTATGATTTCTGAAGACTGCAAAAGGATGTGCTTAATTTCCCCCATTAGTTTCCTGCCACTGAATCATGGCTACGTTAGACCTGGTAATGCCTTTGATGTGTGGATTTCTGAGGACCAGACCTAGGGTAAAAAACTCAAAAGGCTGTAATAACATCATTTGTGATTCCAGTGACGTGAACTTGGTCACATTTTCTGCCTAGAATATCCCACATGTGAACCTTGCAATAAATTCTGTCTAAACATTTTCTGCTTTAAATCTACCTCTGTCTTTAAAATGAATTGTGCATTTGGAGTCTTCATTAATCTGTGTACTGTACCGCTCTGCTCTAATAAATTCACTTCTTAATGAATTCATGTAGCCCTGTGGCCGTAAATATATATTCAAACTAGCTAAGAGCCTGCGATGAGCAGCGCAGAGAATCTGTTTACAATGTGTTTTACTGTACTTTGAAGCTGGCTTCTAAAGATACTGAGTATTTCCATCAACTTGGTAAATTTCATAACCAGCTCCTGGAATATAAAAGATTAAAATGATGCTAAATATAAGTGTATGTGTATATATATGTCATGATTTAAAATAAAGTAATATATATATTATCTGCACTCTGAAAAAATCTGTCTCTGGCCTTGTGATCAAGGCAGGAGACAAATCTTGTTTCTTCTTACTTAAGGTAACAAAGGAATTTAGGCATATAGTCAAAAGCTTTTAATCAACCTAATGTTACATATCGTATCAACATCTTAATGCTAAGGAGATCTTTAGGCTGAAGAAAGTATTTCAAACAAATACCTGTGATTCCCTGCAACATCAGTGCTTTTGGCTTTAGATGGTTAGTGACATCTCTTGCATAGTCAAAGCCATAAATGAGATGAAATGAAGTTGCTATAAACAAAGGATTGATAAGTTGTTGAAAATTAATTTTGAGGAAAATGTCTGAAATGTTTTGCAGAGGTGAATCGGGTGCTGGGAAGACTGAAAACACTAAGAAGGTTATTCAATATCTTGCTCATGTTGCTTCCTCCCATAAAGGAAGAAAGGACCATAATATTCCTGTAAGTTGGGATGTTTTCTCATTTGTTTATTGCTCTTCTTGAAAACTACCGTCTTTGCATTAAAAAACCCAAACGTTTTTACTAAAGATGAGCTGTAATGTAATGCGCATAGCTTTGTCTCAACCGTTATTTTCTCTTTAGTAGTGGCTGAATTGAGCAGTTACATAAAAATTTCCCGGTAATGTTAGCTGTTTAACCTCTGTTGTGAAATTAAAGGCTTTATGCAAACATTGCAACTAGAAACAGTATCAAAGCTTTCTGATGCAGTAAAACCCAGTTAAAAAAAAAAATCTATTTAAGTACGTCTTAGTGAATTTACTTCTCACTGGATGCAGTTTTCAGTACTTTATTTCTGAACAAGCTTTCTGTTCGTTCAAAAATTAACTTGTGGATGGGAAAAATCATTAAGCTTAAACTGCTGTAGACTTGCTATATCTACAAGGCAGCAGCTAATCGAAAGCTCAGATTTTATTACATTACAAACAACTTTTATGTCAGAATCTTGGTTTTTGGTAACTTGTCACTAACTCTGGTTTATGTAGAACTTTCTTCAGATGTACTGCTAGACTTCAAAATTTGCACAGAATTTTTAGCAATGCTTTGCTCTAACAGATACAAATGGGCTTGAGTATCTGTTGCTGTGAGCACTTTGATCTCTTGCAGTGAAACCTTCATTCAGCTTTGCTTGCTGTAGTCAGTACTGGCATCCGCATGCTTTTCTCCAGGAGTGCCCCAAGTCTCTGGTGCTTGGAAACTCTCAAACTGTATCATCTGACTTAGCAGCAATGATTTCTGTAATTTCTAGTGCGTGGCACTTCAGACATTCCTAAATATGTCAAGACTCAAACTCCTGGAAAAACAGGAGATAAGTTTTGACCAATCTGAACAAAAGAAGACTAGGGGTTTGGGGTGAGAGAGGAGGAAATGCTGCTTTTCAGGTAGATTTGCAGAAAGCTAGTTAAGGGTATGGGGAAACTCAAATGTTCGGTCTAATCAAGAGCAAATAACATGACTTTGTGTGATGATATGTATTCAAACTGTTGCTGGCTTATCACACAGAAAAGATCAAAATTAGTCTGTTTATCATGCAGTCCGAGTGGGCTGCAGGTTGTGTCCACATCAGTTACAGGCCTTTGAAGGAGATTTCATATTTGGAGTGTCAGCAGTATTAGGTGTACGCTCATGGCATTGTCTTGTGTGTTGGGACAGTACGTGGCACTGGGGAATGCTATTCAGAAAGAACATCATCCCTCAGACTTGGCTTTCTGTGTCAGTTTTGGTTTATCAATATTCTTGGCTTTACCACTGGGCAGCCTTGAACTAAATCAGTATTTTTTCAATGTCTACAGAAGTAAACTTGCCTACAGCTTTCTGAAGGGACTTGTGCAGGGTTTGTACCAAGTACTTCTAAATCCAACTTGGAATACCTCGTGTTGAAAGAGACTTGTGGAGGCCTTTTGTCCAGCCTCCTTTTAAAATGTGCCTCTCTCCAAAGTTAGATTACATTGCCTAGGACTTTGTAAAGCTTAGTTTTGAAAGTCTGGAGGGACAGAGATTATGCAACCTCTCTGTAAACCTGTTTCAGTGCTTAACCTCTTGAAGCCCTATTTTTGATAGTTTGAAAAGTACTCTGTGTTTGTTTGGCCTTTCTCACGCCGTGTTTCCATGAACAGTTTGTGGAAACACCTCTGCCTCATTTTCGGCTTTGTCATTGTAACAATTCCTGTGGCCACTGACTGGGCTTGGACACTGATGCAGGCTTAAACTAGTGTTCTTAAAGTCCATTTGGCTTAAAACAACATGAGTTTCCTCTGTTTTTTGTGTGGCTGCATGACAGGTATGAAGTGAACGCATGGAAAAGAAAGGAGGAAGCTGGGGTGGAAAATGTCAGTGAAGGGAAGGATGAGTTGCCCTTTTTAATGCAGTGTTGGCTAATTCCATTGAAATTGGTGGTTGAACTGCAATCTAATTATCTGCTTACCAGTGTGATCAAATGGGATGGTGGTGTTCATCTAAGAGCTATGAAAATGGTTGTTGTAATAGCTGCTTTGTGAGCCATCAGTGACTGTCATGATGAAGACTGAAAAAGTGAGGTTTTTGTAAAATATAGTTTAGGCCCAGTAAAAAGAATAGGGTAGTGACCTGAATAAAAGTTTGATACTTTGGTTGTGTGCTTCCTTCAGTACCATAGTGAGACCTGAATTAAGCATATGTTTATGAAAAAATGCAGAATGTTTTTGTAACCAAAATAGTTTTGAGAATACAAATGAGTCTCCCTTGTTTTGTAACAATTCATTTTTATTTATATATTGCTAACAAAGAATGTCTAACCTATACACTTAAGACTCAAGTTAGGAAGTGTCAGAATTGGGTTTATATATACACCACTAATTTGTTCCTGTTTACATATTGACTAGAAAAACTGTAGAGGGCTGGTGATGATCCCTAGTACCCATCCATACCACCTTTGCATTATCCTGTCCACAGAGAGGAGGCTAAATAGGCTTGTTAACCAGACTGCTAGTCATGAATGTCTTATCCATCCTGATAGCGTATTACTGAGACTGTTCTGAATGCTGCATGGATTTTTTTATGAAGCAACTTGTATGCTGATGAATGAATATTTATCTTCCCTACGCTGTTCTGGAATCTAGGGTTAACTTTCTGTTTGGCCTGACAGTGGTGTAAAAGCATTACAAGCGCATGCAGCCCCCCCGTTTGACGCCTCGGGCCGTGGCTAGGGTAGCATTGATGTTCTGCCACACTACAGATGCTCACCAAGCACATTCCCCAACAGCACTGATTGTGAAATGCTCGGCTGCTGTGAGGAGCATCACGTAGGAGCTCTACCCATCCTTTGGGCATCCTCATTATGTTTGGCTTTCAGCTGCTTGTCCATGAAGCTTTTCTTTCCCAACAGCCCTCTTTCCTAATAGCTAGTGACTGTGTGGCTCCAGAGAAGTCCTGCGTAGTTAGCCCTTGGCATGTCAGCCTCAGACAGGCCCTGTGGGGAATGGAGTCAGTAACACGTCGTAACCACAGCGGGTGGAAGTACAGTGCTGAACAACCTTAATGCTAGTATTTACTATTTTTTTGAGCGTTTTAAATCTGGAGCCATGTTGTCTCATTTCCTGTTTAATACCAAGGAATGTTAAAGGTGTTGTCTTGGGCGCTGTGCTGGGAAGTGCGGGTAGGTGGTGATGGTAAAAATGTAGAAGAAAAGCTTTAGTAATTGTGGGCCCTGGCAGAGCTAGATGAGACTAAGGCAGTCCCTTAAACTGGGAATAGAGACGGGGCTTTCTAGAGCCAAGTAATGGAGGGAAGGGAGAAGTAGCTGTCAGTGAGCTATAAACAAAAGGCTCGTCTGAAGACTGAAGGTGGGATGAAAGTGAGCCTGAATCCTTGCGTGTAGTGTGCTTGCTTGGCTGAGAGTTGGAACTGACACATGTATAGTCCTGGTTGGAATGTAGCAAGGGAGAAAAGATGGATATCTGCTGTAAATAACTGAAAGATTTAGCTCCATACCCAACAAATTTGAGCTCTAAAGAATCTGGGGAGGGGTGGGCTAGTAGTGTTGAACTTTGCCAGTAAATCAGAATATGTTGCCTGCACAGAGTATATGGTGGTTTATTCGGTTGTTAACCATGCCATGCATGGCCCAGCTTTGTAAAGGTAACCACTGGGCATCAACTCTGGCATCTCAGACCAAGGGTGACCCACACTGATATCTGCTGGTTTGGTAAGCCATCCCATGCTCCTAGGTCACACACACAGGAGCTCCTCACTCTGTTACTCTTCTGTAGGCTCAGGAGGTGTGAAGAAAAGGATATTTGGTATAAAAGGAGAGGAAGAGAACAAGGACAGGTAACTAAGGAGTTACCTAAGGAGTGTGGGGAGGAGGCTGATGTGTCTAGAGAGGATTGTGGATAGATTAAGCAAGGAGGGTAGGCAGAAAAATGAGACTTGTAAACTGCTTAGCTTTGTGGCTCATCACTCCCACATGCACAAAGTGAGATGGGGAGGAGAGAAAAGAATGAAATTGTGGTGTTAATACATGTTCTGGGTCTGCTTTAATATGGTGAGTCTTAATTCTGACTCTTGGGTTCTGCTTTAGTTTACAGATATTGTGTTTTTGGATGGGGACAGAAGTTGGTGCAAAATAGAGACGTAATTTAAAAAAAAATTGCATACATGGCTTTCCAAAATAAGGAAAGATACTGCTTGTCACTGGCTGCCCAGGGACTGCCATTACAGGCTGCGGGAGGCTGGGGATACTCCTGGTGGTGCTTGTAGACTGGACATACCTGGACCCTATTGCTGGTCAAATGCACGAAGTCAGCTGTTTTCAGGCATGGTGGTATGTGCAGTAGTTCAGTTCTACAAGTAACTGTATCCATCAACCACCTCGGTTCTCACTTCCAGTTGTCCTGGTATGAGGCACCTCTGGTTTGGATAAATGGAACTGGACTTGTGTTCATTTCCCCTCTCTCCAAGGCCTTCCCACCCGACCCCCTCTAGTTTCACTAAAATGCAGCTTTCATGGTGCTGCCATTTTAAGCTTCAGAAATAATTACTGGTACTCTCAGGTTAATGATTGCTTTTAGTGACCATATTTGTCTTTGTAGCTGAAATGCTAAACTGTTTAATTTGTTTTGTTAATTTCAAAAGAAACATAATTGGTTTTGAACTATAGGATCTTGGGTAGACTGAAGCTCATCTGGGAGCTCATCATTCCCAGATGAACTTCAACTGCCCTAATTTAAACACAGAGAAGTTGAATGTGTCTCCTCCTGCTCACTTCTGTTTCTAGCAGACAGAAATGAACACCTAGAGAGAGCAGTTCATCTTGTCCAAAGATAAGTAAATTAAGTGCCTCCTAGGTGTGTACCTGTCCTTTTCTAGTGACTGCAGAAGGAGTGGTAGCTTCATCCTGAAACACCTAACCTTTTTTTAGATGCCCGAGTTATTCTCTGAGCAGGCATGATGCAACTTCACAAAATTCACATCACTTAGCTGAATAAGCTGACCTTTGCCAGGTGCTCTACAGACCACTGTCAAAATCTGTTACTCTGCACTGAAAAAGTGCTAGTGTCTAAAATAATAGACATGAATGGAGGAAGCGTGCATCTGGCCTGGTATGAAAACTTCTTGGGGTGTGTGTTTCACCACATCTTCCTCCTAGGCTCTCTGATGTGAAGCTCAGGATTATTAAACTTTCAGACTGAGCTAAGGAAAGAATGATGGAATATAACATTTCTGCAGAAATTGTGCAAATTTGAATCTTGAGGGTTTTTATTTACTTGTTTTACTTCATTACATTCATGTTCTGTTTATCCATCTTCCTGGTAAAATTTGACGGTCTCCCAGTTTCTTCAGATTTTGCTGCTTTGCATATGGACGGTCAGTGTTGAAAAAAAGAAATAACGCTTTTTTCTCGATTGTAGGTTTGTATTTCTTAAATACTTGAAGTGCAGTGCAAAAACAAAACCCAGGACTCTTTAAGTAATTCTTTCCTCTTGGTTCCTTCATAACCTTTTTGATTTTCTGAAGAATAAAGGTCACCTTATCCATACAAAACCACCTTGCGGTGGCTAAGGCTGTAGAGAAAGTTACTTGGTCTCTTGGGTTTATTTTTTGTTGTTGTTTGGAAAAATCGTAGAAAGCAGTGCACAATTAATTGAAGTCTTGCCCTTTTTCCTTGCTGCTCAATGTCCATCTGTCGTCTGGTGTTTTATTTGGCTTTAGTCCTTTGCATAAGCACAGGTTTTAGTATTTTGCACATGCAATGACAAGAGAGTAACTTTTCTACAATTAATTTAAACAGTTTCAATGAAGTGAGTAAATAGTTAAACTAAACCTACTGACATGAATAATTTGGGATGTGAGCCGGAATGCTTGCTTGCTAACATATCGTTTGTTTGTTTGCAATGAACAGCCCGAATCACCTAAACCCGTGAAACATCAGGCAAGTGTTTTTCTTTATGCTTTTAAAGTTAACATAGGTAAAGTGATTTATTCTTCTATTTCCTGTCAATTTGTATTTAAAACATGGGAAGTCTTGTAGAGGTATGCAGGTAATAATGAACTTGTAAATATTTAACTGGCTCTGAGAGTGGACTGGTGAACAACGTACCAGTTCCCCAGCATTGCAAAGCACTTCACACTGCTTCAGTTGTGTTACTCTGTCCTGAAGCAAAAGGCTCACCCTCTCTCTAGCTGACTTCCCCCCATATGCTGTGTGTGTACTTGGTTAATGTGCTGCTGAGAGAGCACACAGCACTTTTTTTTTAATATTAAACAAAGTACTATCGAGATTAATGGAAGCTATAGAATTCTTCTGATGTACCATTTTGTCTGAATATTTTTATGGCTTTTATCATGTAACCTGATAAAGACTTTGATCTCAAGGGTAAAAGGCTTTGCATAATCAGTTGTCTTTGGAAATCAGGTGTTTCCCCTGATTTTCTAGGATAAGTGGTATAAGCCATGTAGCTGTTCAGTGTTGCTGCCTGAATTAATGCTTGAGCTTCAACTGCCCTTATTCCTCGGGTTGGCTGGAGCCACCATGCAGGTAATGCTGCCTGCTTCCTGTTCCTCCAATCTCTCCCTTCCTGGGGCAGCAGTAGTCACCCTGCTCTAGACCACCTTCTTGTAGGAGTAGGAGTTGCAGTACTCCCAGTGTTATGGAGCATGCTCGGGAAAGAGCTTAAGGAGGAGGGTTAGGTGGAAGTTGAGGGTAAGACTGGAAAGAAATAAACACAGGCTGCCATATGTTATGCAAGGTAAATGCTCCACTCTCTAACCCGAGGTGGTAAGTGATGGCTTTTTGTAATGAGCATGAGCTTTTAAATAAAGAATAAGCTTGCAGCAGCTCCGCATGGTGTAGCCGAAGCAGCTACCATGAGTTAGTTTAGCTGACTGTATTCTTCCCCTTACATTTTTCTGGAAGCTGACAGTAGTGCAACTTAAAATGTGGTGGAAGGGAAAATAATAAAAGAACCTTCAAGTTCTGTCTGGTATATTGGAAGCAAAAAGAAATCATGTGGGTAGCTGTGATGCCTTTGCTAGTGTGTGGTAACTTGTGAAACCTTTGTGACCCAATTGTGTCTGAGCCCACGGTCTCATTTTCAGAAGTTAGACATTCTTAGTATTTAACATTATTCTCCCTCCTTGCAAACCTCACTCATTTCTAAGGGGTTTTACTAAAATATTTCTCTGTTTCAAAAATAGAGCAGTGTTTAGTTTTAACCTTTCTCTTAGAGTTAGCATGTCAGGGTTGAAATAAACCATTTGTTGGCAAACACTGTAAGTGTACCAGTGGAAACATGCTAATCCAGACGTGCTGATGTCGCGTAAACCATAGTCCATTAACATTTCTGTTTCAATGTCATTTTGGACTACAGAGTGGATCCCTGTTGTATGTGAGTAGCATGTAGATCTCCCTCCCTCACTCAGGCTTCACAGTGAATCCAGTCACTGGGATGCTGGTTTTTCTGAAACTGAGATGATAACCTGTCCTCCTAATGTTGCCCTGCATGAAATACTGCATGACTTCACTTTTTCCACAATACTGTGCTACTGCTTTTTCCAAGTTGTGTTCAGCTGCCCGTGCAGGAGACATGTCTATAGGCTAAATTTACACTCTTCCCAAAACACTGAATGCTTCCAAAAAAAGAGAATTATTTTTTTGGCTGTAAAAGGCAGTCCCTCTAAAAATGCAGACGAGTGAATCAGAAGCCATTTAACACAGTGTGCGAGGGTTACTGTTTCTTAGTGATGGCTACAAGGCTTCTAGGGAGTGCAGACCACAGAGGCTGCGAGCGCTGCTCTTCCTCACAGTTTTCACCCACATATGAGGGCCCAACTGAATGTTTTCTTCAAGTCCAGAGATGCTCATAAAAGTGAGCTGCTAAGAACCTTTGCATTCAGTTGGAGAATTTGCGTAAAATCACTTCATGATGCGTTGCAGAAGTGCACAAGAGCCAAATTCAGGTTGTGGTACGCGGAAGCGCTTCAGAGCGTGGACAGCGTGCCTGCGGTGAGATGCTTTCAAGTGGCACGTGGATGTTCTGTGCAGGAGTCCAATTTTTCTCTTCCAGAATAGCCAGAATTAGGAACGTAAGCTGTGACACGCTGGCTGCGTTTAATGTACGTAATGTGGTTTATTTCAAGCTGTGTACAGCGTGGTAAGCGAGCTTCTCATTTTTGTGCTTGGTGTCTTAGCGGGAGCTGACAGCTCGGCTGGGCGAGGGGGATGGGAGGAATGGTGTGAGCAAATGCTTTCCCACCATCTGATGCGTTTACATAGGAGACTTGTAGCATATAAATCGCAGATGTGCGTATAGTGGTTATAACAGGGATGTAGTTTTTCTCCAAATGCAGATTTTTTTGGTCAATCTGCAGTTCTCAGGAGCTCTATTAATACTGACAGACCTAACATAGAGTGCATAGGCACTGTGGCCTGAGTCGTGTTTAGTGTGCTCTGGGCTAAGACTCACACACTTACTTCTTCTTTATTGACCTCAGAACTCGGAGAATGCGTACTCCCAACGGGAATATATTTGGAAGTAAATAAGTTTTGAGCAGATAAGTTCAAGTTACTTCAGAGAACAAGCAGCCGTTAATTTCCAGGAGGACTTGAGATATATTTCAATATATGAATAAAAGCCTATTTTAGGTGAATTTTTAAAATTCCTGAGTAAGAACTGACTTTGTGGAATCCTTAAAAGTCTTTGTTTCCCGTTCTTTAATCCTCAGTCTGGGGCCTTTATTCATCTATGCTATAAATAATTGGAAAAAGCAGGTTTATGAACACAAACATTGGGTTTTGAAACTGCGTTCCAGACAGTTTCACTTATATTTTTTTTTTTTTTAAACCATCCTTCAGAGCAGGAAGACAGTATCATTTTCCTATGTACATACGTGCCTCCTGGGCTTATGGGAGCAGCACAGACTTTTTTTTGTTACCAGACCTCCTCATGGACAGTGACTGTAAAAGCTGTTGTGCAATTTCCTTAAGATAAGTGCTCTGATTTCTACATCCATTGGCTTGAACTTCAAGAAATGTTTTTAAAAAATGCATTAAACGTACTAAACGATGTTGGCTGAACTCAGCAATTGGAAAATGATCTTTGTATTTGGTGTTGCTCAGTTCCCATTATGCCATTCTGGCATGCTTCTCAGGTGCGTTCAGGTCAGATGTTGCAATGATATGAATGTCTGCCTGATTGGAAATATTTCATTAGGTATTCCAAAGTAGCTGTATCATCAAGTCACCGAACAGGAAGTTTAAGAATAGCCTTGCGCTAAAATCTTAAAGCAGTTAAATTAGTTTTCCACTTAAGCACTTAAAGTCTGTGCCTAATTTCATTAGCCCTAAATGTTGATTTTTTTTCTTTTCCATGTTCAAAGGTTTTCAACATCCATTAAGTCCTATTCAGTCATTGCTCTGTGTTTTGTTCTTTTTTTTTTTTTTTTTTTTTAAACCCCTAAACCAAGTTCTTCACTTGATGGAGGAGACTATCAGCGGATTTGGAAGTGAGGGGGGAAAATGATAACCCTCTTCTGAAGGTGGTATCACTGCTACAGCCTGGGTAAAATGAGTGTCAGGAAGCAGCAAAATGTGGGAACCCTTAATCACCTGTTCCCTATGCTTATGTCTGTTTATTTTTCTGTTTGTGTGGTTTTTAGGGGGAGCTGGAACGTCAGCTTCTTCAGGCGAATCCCATTCTGGAATCCTTCGGGAATGCAAAGACAGTGAAAAATGACAACTCCTCCCGCTTTGTGAGTTACTCCTTTTCTCTTTAGAGCCTGTAAATCTGGACTACTGTTCATGAAGAAATGCCCTTTTTAGGATTTTTAGGATTTTTTTTTTTTTAAATTAACATCAGAAGCTTTCATGTTCTTTCCTCCACCAGTTCAGGTTCTCTCAGTGCTTTCTGCGTTGTGTTGGGATCTCTGAAGGATGCATCCTCACTGGATTTTGGCAAAACTTGCTTGGATTTTATCCAGTTTCTAACTTCAACCATCCTTGAATTTACGGTTCATAGGGTTCCTAGTAAATCTATCTACCATAGCAAATCTGTGCTGTAGAGCTGAACTATGGCTTGCATGCACAAATTACTGCTGAACTACTATGAAGAAAGGAGGACTATGGCATCAGCATGGAATGTGACTAAAAATGTAGCCTTCTTGTTGATAGCTATGACTTTATCAATTGATTGCTTTAGAGACAACATCCTCAATTTTAAAAATTACGAAACTTGCACGTAAAACCCTCTAAGTTTCCATGCTCTTCCGTCTGACTGATTTACTGAAGGAAAGTCAAAAAGACAGTATGACTTAAGGTGTTGGGCATTCTTGTAGCTGGTTAATGTTTTTGTTGGGTCCCTGCCTTCTGTTCACATGCTGTTCTGGTGGCAGTTAACCCCTTTTAATGTGTTCCATTGTTTTAAAAACAGTGGTGGATGTTGGGGTGAATAGCTAGTTCCTGCTTCTTAAAACCTCCTTTCCTTTGAAGGAAATAAAAAGCCATCTCCTATTTCAGGGAAAAGATGTTTTTTAGTACTACTTTAAAACTATATGGGAGGTATTAAATCTTTTCTTCTTGTGAGAACAAAACTAAAATTTACAGAACAAGTGAAAGATTTCTTGGCTGCCTTGACATTTCAACAGTTGCTTGGTTTTATAATGTCTGAACTCGACTCCAGTGATAAGGACTCTGGAAAATGGTGTGACTAGCCTTTTCAGTCTGGAAGGGAGTGCAGAGTACTGTAGAAATTCAACTTTGATATTTTTATAGCCACATTATTTACAATGTTGCTTGATTCTTGTATGTTGGGTATAGGATTTATAATATCAAGATGTTTTACTGTGCAATAATTCTACTTTGTTACATGTCTTGAATCCATCAAAGATTATACTAATTTAACGAGGATACTTTTTTCCTAAAAGATGTTAGCATCTGGTTTGTATTATATTGAAGTTTGCTTTGCCATCATGAACATAATCACTCAGATGGCTCCAGCTCTATTTTTATGAAGCAAGTATAATGCACTCCAGATGGTGTCATTTCATGCAAAAAAAGAATCTTTCGTAACAACCATTTAAAAACCCGACTTTAAAAAATACATATCCTCCCACAAGGTGAGAAGTGCTGTTGTTCAGCCTATACATGCAGCATGACGATGTCAGCCTCTTCTTTACTTGCTAATAATAACAGATAGGACTGCAATAAGGCTAGTGTCACATCAGATTATTTCCCCCCACACACACCCCAAAAGTGTAGCGTTCTTTTGTGTTCCTGAAACACAAAAGTTTGTAGTGGATAGGAGAGTGAGTTTGCTGCATTCATACTTCAGATCTAAATGCTTCCTCTGATGTGGTTTATACAAAGCCATGTACTTAGTGCTATAATGATAGGTACTTAGTGTTGTAATGATAGCGTAAACAGAATTCAGTTGTTGGAGACAGTATTGAAGTTTTCACAGCAAGATTTGTGAGTGCTAGCTAAAAGGATGTGTTAATGTGTTGCTTTTAAGATGGACTAGATAAATGACGTCTCTAGTATAGGCTTCAGTGATGGCTGAACTTCGATGCAGGGAGTCTCCTGATGTGTCAGCTCACTTATTGACAGCATGCCCTCTCAGTTACTTTTCTTCATGGAACTGATAACTTTTAAAGGTGAAACAGTAAAGTCATTCTGCATTATATCAGAAAAGGCCGCATCTAGTCCTTAGGTAATGCTTCATGTTTGTTTTCACATTGTAACATTGCAAATCCAAGCCGTGTCATTCTAAGCAGGCTCTGTGGTACCTGTTCTGGGTGAAAAGTAGTCAGCTGCCATTCTTGACATGCTAGTGCTGGCACATGTGTTATCTATTCTCTTGGCTGAATTTCAGTAAAATGTCAAGTCATTCTTTGTGACAGTTATAGATGTCTGGAGTTGTTACTGAACAAAAACTATAAATGCTTCAGTTACTAGCTGAGCTTAGTCTTATATTTCTTCATATTCAGAAATCTGAGTTCAAGTGCTGGTCCCTGGCAGGGCATGCTTGAAAACAAACCTTGTTCCTTGGTGTGGTCATTTTAGTGCCACTGATTTTTCCAACCAAACTGCTGATGAAGCAGTAGGAAGTAACCATTGAAGCCAATTTAAAGTATTCCATCGGTTTCCTTGAAACTTGAAGTAATTACTGTGAGCTGAAGATGTACAACTGCAATCAAGGAGCAAAGTCAAGATAAGGCTGGTAGAGTAGGCTGTACCTTTCTCTGGATTCACTCGTGTGATTGGGGAGAGAAACTTGGTCACTCTTGTGCATGAATCTTTTACATGAATGGGCTTTATCAGGGAAGTGAAGGGTAGGATTTTTGGCTAAGAAGTTGTAATAGCTCAAATGATTGCAGCAACTTGTTCAGGCTAAGTCTGCAGCATGACAATATGCCCCCCTGTATACACTTACTGTATTGGCCCATTCCTCGAGTAGAGATATGCTGCCAGCTTGTAGAGTAGAATATTTAATATAAAAATCAATAGTACAGTCTCTGAGCTGAATGGATCTGCCAAACAGGAATTCACTTTAACATGCTAATAGCACTAATCAGTCAGACTTGAGATAAGTGGGGGCTTGGATCCTGATTGTAAGAGCATCTTTCAGAAGACCTCCACAAAAGGTAGTGGCTTTGTGCAGATAGCATCAAAAGAAGCATTTAGGTAGTCATTATCAAACTGCTGTGATGCTCCCCAGTCTCCAAAACCTGTTTGTATGTGGATAGAGGACTGCAGAAATTGGATGCAATGAAAATGGAGAGCCTGGTGTAGTCACTGGTTATTCCCACCAGTTTCTTCACATGTTTGCAACCAGGGAATCCCCAACAGTTTCATGAGCACAAACTTGAAATACAGTAACAGTCCTGTTAAAAGTGTTCCAACTCCAAGCTGGAGCCTGTTTTCCTGTTGGGAATCTTTGTAGCCAAGTAACAAATCCGATTGAGGAACTGATGTGGTGTAAAACTGGTATAATATATCCCCTTGCAACCACTTGCTTTCCAAGAGCTGCTCTGTGTGTAGGAGGTGCGCTCCTTATTTGGTCCTTAGTGGAGAAACAGAGGCGTACATGGAAGAAATAGGTATATTGTCTCTGTCTTGGGCCTTTCTTTACCAGCTGCTAGAAAAGAGAGGCCATGCAGAGAGCAGCCATCCTGTTGTGGAAACAAAGGTAGAAGTGTGGGCTGGGCAGCACATGGATTCATGATTGCTGCAGAGAAAGCACCTTTCGGCACCAACGTGTTTGCTGTAGGAATATGTGCACTTGAAATTTCAGCGTTGCTTTAAACCTGAGACAGCATGTTTTGTCAGGGTGAGAAACTGAGCTTTGCTTGCAGAAAGGTTTCTCTAAGTCTGGATTACAAACAGGTGTGGAATAGCTGTTCTTTGGTATTTAGAAAGTGTGTGTGTGCAGCCTAACATGTTCCATTGAAAGGATGGCTGAGCACGCTGAGGGAGAAGACTTTGAGCTGGTGTGAAATGCTTGTTACATGAGTGGATTATGGTTTTATATAGACAGCGTTGTCTTAATAAAAAAAATCTCTTCTTTGCAGGGCAAGTTCATTAGGATTAACTTTGATGTTACTGGTTACATTGTTGGGGCCAACATTGAGACATGTATCCTACTTCCTGCCACATCATTGTAAAATGCACGTTTCCTGATTGTTTTTCTCTTAACCCTGGAGTTCATTGGAGTGCAGTGAACAGTTACCATATTTACACATTCCTTTGACAACATCCTTCTCTTCCTTTGTTTCAAAGTAGCTGATAAAATACCAGAAATTCAGCGTGCTTACTCATGCTCAGAAATCTGGATGTTCCAAAATATAGCACTCTGAAATCTGCTGGATTTTCAGGCTATCCTTAAAACTAGGGTATGTTAGATGGGGAAAACATTTCAAGTATGTTTGCTTTATTAACATCTCTAGGGGAAAAAATATCCTTCCTAATCAGAAGCTGAGCTGCTCTCTTGTGCCACGAGCCTGGCTTTGAACTTGTTGGCACTGCAGAGCAGCACTCTGCCTGGCAGGAGGGGATGCTCGTTATAAAGCCATAGAGCTGGAAGTGGTGGGACACCTTCTGTTTTCTTGGGTCTTTTAAATATCACTGTAGGCTCAATAACATGACACCTACTAGCAATTCATACTGAAGTCTAAGTTTTAGCTTTAAGGTTCTTTTTATTTACGATTGCAAAGAACAAGTAAAAATACTTGCACTGAAAGCCTTTATCTAAATTTGTTTTCTTTATGCTAAAAATAATGTGTGTAATATTTTAGTTTTTCACCTGTTTTCTGGGGGAATAGCAGTAGAATGGTCAATTATGAAATTGGAAGTCTTAGTAAACAGTATGACGTGAGTATTAATTGTAAACAAAGCTGTGGTTAGGCTTTCATTCTTTTTTCTGTGAGTTAAACAGTTTAATTTTAAGTGCATTGAATATTTGGAACTGTCAAAAGATAATTGCCCAGTGATTTCCCAATAAGGCTGGAAAATATCTATGGTTAATCAGAATATGTTTTCATGATAAACGATTTGCCTTCATTCCTATGCTGTGCTGAATGGAAAGGTTCTTACTTTTATGAAAGTTCAGCTGAATTGTTTTGCCTAGAGCTCTGTGAAAACCGGAGGACTTCCCTCTTGGGGAATTTTTTTTCTTCCTCACAAGAGCTCATCCTTGCTCGTAACCTGTGCAGCTTCAAATCCCTGTCCCATGTTTGTTTTACAGTATGGAACATCAAGAAATAAAAACTAAAGCTGCCATAAGCTGTAGTCCTATTTATTATACACTATCTGCTGCACAGATTGAATTTGGGAACTGTTTTAAGGCAGTGCTGATTGTATGTGAGAATGCAGTGCTTGAAGGAAATGGCAAATGCACTTCAGATGAAGGACTCCTGGTTTCAGCAGCTGCTGGGGTCTTGGTATAAAGAGTTCAGCTATGACCTTTATAGAAGTGATTGAAGAAGAATGGGCTGCTTCCCCTCTCACTTAGACTTCAACTGATCCATAACAGACAGTTGTCACCTGCATGTAGCTGGGAAGTACAGTCAACATCCAAGAAACGAGTTTGCTGAAATTCAGTGTGGGCTTCTACCAGTCTGAATCTGACATCTCTTATTTAAAGTTGCTGAAGGGTCATACTGGACATAGTTCAGTCATTCCTATTAGGGTTCTACCAGGTCTTAAAGTAATTCTGTAGCCTGCTTTGAAAGTTTTGTTTGCACTGGATGCTTTTAACCAAAAATTGTGGAAGATCCTTGACTAGTTACAATCAGACTTGTTGGAGAAGTCTCGTGCTGTTCGTCAGGCTAAAGATGAGCGGACGTTTCATATCTTCTATCAACTCCTCGCTGGAGCAGGAGAACACCTGAAGTGTAAGTTGAGGATCTCCTTTTGTAAACTCGCTGTTTCTGCGTGCCGCGTTTGTTATCTCGTGGCGAAGAGTCACGTTTGAACAGTTCTTTGGTCTTGAAACAGTGAGTTTTAAAAGAAGAATGGAAAGCCAGGTGACTTTGTTTTGAAATAGCGTCTGTGTTCTATCAAGTTTGCTGTCAAGCCACTGTTGCATTTCAAGCAAATGGCTCCTACGTGACAAAGCCTGGTTTGGGCAGCCTCTGGCTGGGAACGACTGCATTGACACTGCTGTGCTTCCAGCTGGTGGATAGTGAACCTGGTCAGTATGCACAGCCCTATCTGTTCTGGATCATGCCTTCAAACTGGGTAGAAAAGCAGCCACTTTACCATACCATCTTCTACTCTATTTTTTTCTCTTGGTAACTGGAAATTTCTGTTAGGTTGTGATAAGTGAAACTATGTGAAGGTACAGACTTCAGAGAATTCATCTGTTCTTTCTCCTCCTGTATTAGATAAACTGGTATTTAGCGTCTTTGATGTGGTGATCATCAAAATCTCAATCCATCTCTGCACATGTCTGTTACCTTTCAATAGAGAGATTTCTTCTAGGGTATTTCAAATAGGGATTTGGGATTATGCTAGATCTGAGGTAGGTAATGTTGTGTTCACAGGCGTAGTGCATTAAAGAGGAAACGTAGTTTGCTACAGAGAGATTCTGGGAATCTGGCTTCAGCTTCTAACATACACATTTTCAGGGTTTCAGAAGCTGGTATAAAGACTTGTAGGCATATTTGAGGAACTGATTTTGTAAAGCATAATTTGCCCATTTAGTGAGAACAGAGTACAGATGGGTGTGCAGAGCATTTCTTTAGCTTATGTTTCTGTCTTTTCCCCTTCCTCCAATACAGCTGACTTGCTCCTTGAAGGATTTAACAATTACAGATTTTTATCTAATGGCTACATCCCCATTCCTGGGCAACAAGACAAGGATAACTTTCAGGAGACTATGGAAGCCATGCATATCATGGGATTTTCACACGACGAGATCTTGTGTGAGTTATTGGGCCTTTTGGATGTTTAAAGCGTACTTTTTTCTGTTGCACACACATGCTTGCTCACTTAATGTCACCAAATTTAATGTTGCTTCAGTGTCTTGACAGCCTGCAGCAAATGTTTGCTTAATGTGAGCTAGAGTTGAATTAAAACTATTTGCCCCAAAAGTATGGTGCAAACTTTATTTCCTTTCTGAACTTTGAATTTGGAAGGAAAGTGACACCAGTCACAGGAGAAAAAATTGTTAAGCTGAGCTCTCTTCAATTAAATGGTTGCCTGTCTTTTGTTAACGCAGCGATGCTGAAAGTGGTGTCTTCAGTGTTACAGTTTGGAAATATTTCCTTTAAGAAGGAGAGAAATACTGACCAAGCTTCTATGCCGGAGAATACTGGTAAGTTGGTCACGTTTGTATTGTAAAGCTTCCTTTAGCTTGTAGTTAAGGAACTTAACTTAACCTTAACTACTGCTTGTAGCAGTAGTTTTCTTCCTGCTGTTTGTTTAGTGCCTGTCTTTAAAAGTACAGAGCAGTCTTCTGAGTTTCCTTGATAGGCTTCTCTGCCAAAATCAGGGCATGCCTGTGGTGGTGGCCAACAGACACTTACTAACACTCCTCTTCCATTCTCGTAATGCAGGCAAATTTAAGTATCCATCAACAGAATTTGTTGTTTGCATTGTTTCCAAATTTTAAGCGACTATTTTAGTTGTAGCTTTGTTTATTGCTGTCCATGAAGACTTAAGCACTGGGAAAAAGTGTATGCTTAAATCAGTTTGGTTTTGTTGGGCCTTGACAACAGTTTTCTTGCCAATGATAAGAGCCCCAGAGCCAAGCACAACTTCCATAGTGAAATGGCTGAGCATAAGAATGCTGTATTTAGCAAAAACTCATTTCTGGAAGGGGCATAGCAGTGTGACTAAGATTTAGTTTATCAGTTAGTACCTGCAGTGGGATCAACATTTTGAGTGTATTTCTTCACCAATTAAAAATAGTTGTTGAAGCAAATACCAGGTTTTTAATTTAGTATTTTAGTTACCAGCGTTTTAAGTGCTCTCATGGAAAGTCAGCTTTGAGAATTGGCATCAGTGGAAAGAGCAGTAAGAACCATCATTCACAGGACTTGCTACACATGCACAACACGTTCTTGGCCGTGTGCCATTTCATAATTGTCCTAAGTTGCTGTGCACATAGGCTGCTTGCAATACCCACAGTTTTTGTCATTTTTCAGGGCAGTGGCTGGATGCCGTAATTGCCCCACCAAGCAGGTGGGATTGAGGTTCAGTAGTCGTTGACTAGATACTTGGCTGGCCATCGGCACTTTGAGTTTTGCAGTGAGTGGAAAAAGGTTGGGTGAAGTTTTTTTTGGGCTTTTAGTGCCAGTGTAGACAAATTGACTGAGTCATTGTCCATTTGAAACGGGTGATGTAGAAAGAGACAGGCACTTCTTACTCCTGACTCTCTTGGCTTTGGTTATATACCACTGTTTATGGATGTAAATTCTGAATTACAATATTTGAATTAAACATATTGGTACTATTGGATACTTGCAAGACCAGCTACAAAATTCTGAATGATCAAGCAAAGATGCCGAGAAGCTCAGATTATAGCTAAAGCCTGGATCAATTATCTTGTATTTAAAAATGACTGTATTTGGTTATGTGGTCTTTGTATCTTTCTGCAGGCACTGAGTGACACTGACCTCTCCCTTCTTGTCATCTGTATTGTCACATCTCACTGTAATGGTTTCCCTAGTGTTCTCCAGAGAAATAAGTGTGCCTTAATAGCAACTCGCCTCGTTTAGAGGCACGTGCCTGAAATGGGGCAGGTTAGTGTCCCATAGACAGGAGAAGGGATTTGTGTGGGTAGTGGGGATGTGAACGTAAAACAGTGATAAATTCTACCCTATGGATATGAAATGTAGATAAACAAAAAGTGGTTTCAAGTGTACATCCAAGCAATGGCAAGAAAGCCACATAAGCTCCATGGATGAAGACGAGGGAGAAGCTCTATTTAGAGAACCATTTCATACTTACCAGATTTGGAAGAAACCTTTCTGCTGAGAGGGCAGAGGTTCACAAGCAACCTCATACAGTTCATGATTCAGCTGTGATACAAGCTTTTAAGTATTTCTGCTTTGTAATAATTCAGAATTTTATATCCAAAACAAGTCAGGATAGTCAGGGCATTCTACAGTCGCACCTTTTAAATGGACATTCCTCAGTGATAAACAAACAAGATGAGTTCTGCATTTTTTCAAGTGCAAGATTAATCAAGCTGAAATAGTGTGAACCAGTCTTACCCTTAGAAGTGATAAAACTTTGAAAATGCTTTTTTTGCTTGTTTCCTTCAGCCTAACCTCTGAAGTGTTGGCTACAGCCTCCTTCAGCATTTGAATCTGATGAGCTTTTTAGTATTATCTCTGCTGTGGGTTATAGTTGTCGTTGTTAACTAAGCTATGCTTTATTACAAACTGGAAAGGTAGGGGCAGTAAATTCCATGTCAACTCTTCATGAAAGAAGCTAAGTGTAGTGTTTGGAGTACTGGGGGTGTGGGGAACAAGCCTCCTTCCTTTAAAAACTGTAACATCCCTTACATAGTGTCTATTATGCTGCAGGATGAAGCTGATGCTCATGGCTACTTAATGTTGTCAAGTTTTTGATGTGGTTTATTTTTAAGATCCTGTTTTTTAAAAGATCCTGGGTTTTTATACACCTAAGGTTGTAAGTTTTATCTGATGTGCTGTTGTGTATTTTCATACTCAAAGCACAGAAATGCTCCTGTGCTTAGCTAAAGTGAAAGGAGCACTCAGTTTGTGACGCTACCCTAATTTCACTAAGTAATGTGTTGATTCATGAGCAGTTCTATGGAGTATATAGCCAGAGAGAGAATCTCAATATTAAGAGCCAGTACTAATGTTTTTGATACCGGGGGAAAAAAAATGCAGAGGAAGCATATATATTGGCATTAAAACCTGCTTGCCAATGCTCATTTGTAAAAATAGCTTTTTTCATTTTGACATTAGAATGATGAGCTGTCAGCTTCCAAAGATAAGGGCTTAAAGCATTTCCTGGATGGTGTGGAGGGCTTCCTGCTAAAGGGCATAAGCATACCTGTAGTGTCACTGAAGGTACCTTTAGAAGGGCATCTCCTGACTGCTATTTTGAATGGCAGTTCAGTTTTTAAGCTGGCATATGACAGCCTTTGTCAGTGGCTTGTTTCACCGATGTTGCTAGCTGCTGTGGAGGATAAATGCTTACATTATTGACTTGGCTCTCCAGTCGCACAGAAACTCTGCCATCTGCTGGGAATGAACGTCATGGAGTTTACCCGGGCCATACTGACACCGCGCATCAAAGTTGGCAGAGACTACGTTCAGAAAGCCCAGACCAAAGAGCAAGTAAGTTTTGCTGCTCTAAAGATGAGGTGAAACTGTACCTCATCCTGATTAGTTCTTAATAATGAAAATGCCAACTAATGTGTACTGCCTCTGACTTTAAGCTTACTGTCTGTGTCAAATGTTCTTGTATGGTAAAAATCAGTGGGAGAAGAGAAGAAACATTCCCCTTTCCTTGCCCTTCTGCTGGTTTCATCCTTTAATGTCATTGTCGTGTGTATCGAATGCGCAGAGCTTTAGGTTTTTTATGGAACAGTTTAAAACATTTTTTTTTCATTATGCTAACCAAACTGCTTACTGTTTCTACTGCTTGTTTTCACTCCTTAGTGGTATCAACTCTATCAAACTTCTGCTGTTACCTAGTTATTTGTGATAACAACTATGTCTGTATTCTTTTGACTTTTCCAGGATAAATAAATTTTCCTGTTTGGATTTTCAGGCAGACTTTGCAGTGGAAGCTTTGGCAAAGGCCACCTATGAACGCCTCTTCCGGTGGCTTGTTCACCGCATCAACAAAGCTTTGGACAGGACCAAACGACAGGGAGCGTCTTTTATTGGAATTTTGGATATTGCTGGATTTGAAATCTTCGAGGTACTTCATAACACTGCTAATCAGATGTTTCTTTTCCATGTTAATGTGTGTTCAGGTCTAAGATTAGAGCCACTTCATGCATGTTCTGAGACTGCAGGAAGGTGTTACGTTGTATCAGGCAAATGCCTTGACAACCTTAAATTATGGGGCCGAAAAGTCATACTTCAGGCTAAATTGTTCTTTTATATGTGATGGGTTTTCCTACTAGAAGTTATTTAATTATATGTAACAGGGAACATAAATACTTGAATAATGCAGTTTACAGGTTTTTTTCTCAGTATATTTGAATGTTGTGGAGTTTGGGGCAATTTCCTTGTAAGGTCAAACTTCTGACATCCATGTACATGATAAATCCTGTCACTGAATTACTCTTGCTTACTAATGTTATTTTTGTAGTTGAACTCCTTTGAGCAACTCTGCATCAACTACACCAATGAGAAGCTTCAGCAGTTATTTAACCACACAATGTTTATCCTGGAGCAAGAGGAGTACCAACGAGAGGGTATAGAGTGGAATTTCATTGACTTTGGACTGGATCTGCAGCCTTGCATTGACTTAATTGAAAGACCTGTAAGTTTGTGAATTAATAATGCTCTAAGGAGAAGAGGCTCCACTTATGGGTTTGTCTCTTCTGCCAGCCGATTGTAGGACTACACAGAGATTTCTTGCAGAGCTGTCACAAAAGAAGGCTGAAATCCAGAGTCTAAAATATCATGTATTAGTAAAAGGTTTTATCCCTATGGGGTTTTGCCCTGATATCAGGGTAGAACACTGAGCTAAAGATAGTAAGCTACTATTTTAATACTTTTTTTCCCTAGTACTAAAGAAGTCTTTAGTCCTGTCACCTTCATGTGAAACAATGCCGTTGCGTTACAGGAGCTTTAGGGTGGTGGCTCAGTTAGAAAGCTTTTCAGGACTTACAGTAAACTTTTTTCATTTCAGATCAATAATAATTTTAATTACTGTGCTTTTTAACATAGTCTTTTTGTTGCTTGTTTTATGGAAACTGAAGAAGGTTGCAAAGAGCAGGAGGAGCAGTTGGGGTAGGCAGTGGGGAGAGGAAGAACAAAGATCATTATTCCTGAAAGTTGTTGTTCTTCACACCACAGAACTATGTGGTCAGAGTTATTTTATGACCGTTTAAATGAGACCTCGGGCATTGCAGTTACTACTCTCCACACTTCTGTGTGTGCATTCTGAATACACATTAGCTGCCAGTGATGCTGTGCGTCCTGAAGTGCAGAAAAGCCCATGAGCCACCTTGTTGGTTTTCTTTAGGGAAGGAAGAGGGAGGTCTTGTTTCAGTTATCAACGGTTTGTACGTGGTATGTGGAACTTCAGAAATTTTTGCCTCCTTGGAATGTACTCTCTCTGCCAAAAAGCCTGAGGCAGTAATTGCGCTGTCAGTGTGCAGATATTTAGGTGGATAACCTAAAATGCATCTATTACTTGAATTTTTTTTTTGAAAAACAAATATTGGTACTTTCGTGATTGTTCTGTAAATGTGATGCCATGTAGTAGCCACGTAGAAATATCTCTCTTCAAATGTATAAACTTTACATTCACTAGAAACTTTTGAAGTATAAATTATTATAAACTCTTTTTTTCCCATTGCTTTCCTGTATACATAAGTCTGTCTTCCCTGAGGAAGATGATCCTGGCAAACAATTCTACAGCTGCAAAATACAGACAGTTTGTTCCTTACTTCACTTTAAACAAACCTTCAGGTGGAGTTCTTCAATTGTATGGAAGGAGAGGGAGTATATAACACTATGCTGGCTGCTCAAGTTAAGCCTGCTGGAGTATCTTTAAAGGACGCCACTGGATATCAACACAGGGCTTGGCAAGGAGAGGCTCGGTGGCTGCCACAGCAGTATCGAGTGGCTGGGAGGGATAGCTGTCTTCAGTTTAGCCCACATTAAAGCATGACATTACTGTGGAGACGTGGATGAGCTGCTGTGTATGTGCATGTCACAGGAATGTTTGGGAGGTAACTCTGGAGGTCACCTATTCCAGCCTCTGCTCAAAGCAAAGCTCTAGTCAGCACTAGATCAGGTCATGCGTGTCTGGTTCCACTACACACTGGAATGAATTTATTTGAACCAGGCGATGTCATTCATTGAACTGGGCTCCCCCATGGCTGGCTTTGATATAAATCAAATTGGAATCAGTTCAGACAGCTTCTTATTGTGGCATTCAATGGGGTGTGTGCCATATATTTTCTAACTTCAATATCTATGTAGTAAATATTAACATAAACTAAATCCAACTGGATTTCAGGCCAATCCTCCTGGTGTGTTAGCATTACTGGATGAAGAATGCTGGTTCCCTAAAGCTACTGACAAGACATTTGTGGAAAAATTGGTCCAAGAGCAAGGAACCCACTCCAAGTTCCAAAAGCCAAGACAGCTGAAGGACAAAGCAGATTTCTGCATTATTCATTATGCAGGGAAGGTAAGGGTTAAATACTTGGTTAGAAATGTTGTTTTTAGGAGAATACTATGGTACAGCTTCCAAATTTAGAAATACTTGTGCAGGAGGGTGGCCTGGTTTCATTTTCTTGAACATATTCAAGAGTGCTCTGATGGAAGTCTTGTTACCAAATAGACAGAACTCAACAACATAAATTAATATTAAGCAAGTATTTCCATTTCCTTTAAGTTGTATTAAAAGGAATTTCTTCTAAATACCTGTGTTTCCAAGTTGATAATAGTGCTTGAAGGAGGGCTGTGTCAGTACCCTTCACTTTTATGTCTTCAGTTCATATAAGATCTTCTATATATCCCCTTTTATAGGTAAGCTGATATATTTTCTCTTGTACTGTTAATTCAGTCTTTATTCTACTATTGAGGGATGGAGCTCAGCTGCAGTGTGAGTGGGTCCATGAAGTAACTGCAGTTCTTGTGAACATTTTGTGGCACCTTCATGATCATCAGGTCTATTCCATAGGGTAGTGCTATGTAATTAGTTTCATAAATAGTTAAAGCTTAATCCTAGTACCAGTTTTTGACCTGTCTTCTAAATAAGAAGAAACTGTGTGAATGATTGAGCCATTCTTTAAATGAAAATTAAAGCACTAATGCCTTGTTGTTTATCCTTTGCCAAGGGTGCCAAGTGGATAATTGTAGCAAAAGTTGAAATAAAGAAATTGTACATTTTACGCTATAAATATTTAAACAGTATCTTAGAAATAATGATATCACTGTTTCTGCAGTTAACAGTAGATTGGTTGGGGGGGGAAAAAAGGTTACTTTTAGGTAATAAAAGGAAGTAAAACAGCTCGGTGCCTGACTACTGGGAAGTAATTGTTCTGAAGAATGCTTTCCTTCTGCCAAACTTCTGAGTGGCAATGCTATGCAAACCCTTCTGAGTGGGCATTGCTTTGCAGATCTTCCTCTGACAGAAAGCATTTTTCGATTGTCTGTCAGGATATGTGTTTCTTACAAAACTAGAATTGCTTGTAAAATAGCTTTTACTGCAAGAAGTACTGAGACAATGACCTGATTTTGGTTTTGGATGCTGGAAACATTTAAGTATGTTTTTCCTTCCAAAGCTCCTTCTTTAAAAATAGAAAACTCTGAAGCAAAAATGTACTAGTCTATGTGGAGGTCTTGGACTTAAGAAATTTTAGGGCGCTCTTTTGGGCTGGGATGAAACCATGCTGGTAGCATTGAGTTTTCAACTGCTGAGCTATAGTTTTAATTACAAACCGCAGAATTGGCTCTTTTTAAGATAAGAGCTTTTTTGTTTTCTTTGTAGAACAAAGTGTTTAAGTATAGCTGCTATAGTGAAATTTAAAAAAAATCCCACCAACCAAAACATGTTGCAGCAGATCCTTACTCTAGTGATTTAGATAAAGTAATTATGGTCTATAGTGGAATTGTTTTTATATCTTCAGAGGGAACAGTGAAGCCTTGTTTTGGCAATAATATTAAGCTGAAAACATATACCAGCTATTAGTAAGCAAACAGATTGCTGAACTTTTCAGAAAACTTCCATTCTTTCAGAAAAATAACAGCTCTTTATGGTACTTTGAACTGCTCTAAGGAGGCTCAGCTAACACACCGCAAGCAGATGTCAAGAGGAGAATAGGAGGAAAACAACAATACAATATTTTGAAAGCTTGGGGTTTTTTTGATGCTGGTAAACTAACGCTGGTAGTCTGTCTGATCATGTGCATCTTGGCTACTCTACAGGTAGACTACAAGGCCGATGAGTGGTTGATGAAGAATATGGACCCTCTGAATGACAATGTGGCTACACTCTTGCACCAGTCTTCTGACAAATTTGTTGCAGAGCTGTGGAAGGATGGTAAGAGATCATGCACTGAGTACACAAGTTGTTAGCAGTTTTTACCGTACTGGATGATTCGGTGGTGGTTTTGTGCCTGTTCCCTCCTCACCCTCCACCTCTATGTTGTAAACATCTACAGTGTTTTCTCTACTGTTCAGTGCCAAAAGTACAAGAGGGAAGCTGGGTCGCACCGATGGTCCCTTGCACATGTACCATTTCTGAGTAGCTGCTTCTCATGTTCATTTTTTGAACTGGTATTTGTTTTACACTTGTGTCAAACTTCCCCCGTAGAATCTTGCCCAAAACCCTTGGTGTGAATTGCTGCAGTTAAGTCCTCAGTGTATCGGCTGTAGTGCTGTTAAAATGTCATATGTGAGCACCAGCACACTTGTTTCTTTTGCAGTGGTGGGTCATATCCTGGAAATCTGCATCTCCTAGAATGTAATTCATTAACAGCTATACTAGTGCTTAGGTATTGCACATTAAAATCAAATGCAGTATTTTACTGTTGTAACTGTACACTGCTCTTTGGTCTGCCTGCACATCAGCTTCAGGTATTTATTGATATTTTTACCAAAATAGCACAAGAAGCAGAAATAGCCAAATAAACATTTACAAGGACTTTTCTATTCTAGTTTTTAACATCACATTAATCATTAACATCATATTAACTAGAGTATATTTACACACCACAGTATATAAATCTTGTCGTTTCTTATTTCAGGATGAATTTAACCTTGAGATATAGATGGTGCTGTAGGTTAATACTGAGTTTCCCTCTTATTCTCAGGAATACTTAGTTGGTTCAGCTACAGAGAGCAGTTTTAATGAATATATAAAGAACTTTTTGGTTGGGGATCTGCTCCTTTCCTTTTGAGTACACGCACAGAAGCAAAAGTGTTTAGGTCCAAATATGCAAAACCTGCTTCCACAGATAATTGAAATGTGCATGGAATGTGTCGTGGCCTAATTACTTTTGTAGCACAGTTAAGTCTGTTTGCGATTGATAAACCTGTTCTGTATACTAACTGAAGTGTCTTGTGTATCTGCTCTTCTGTCTTTCTGTTTTTGCTGTTTCTCTGCCTTAGAGATTCAGAATATTCAGAGAGCCTGTTTCTATGACAATATTACTGGTCTTCATGATCCACCAGGTGAATGGATATAAAAACAGTAGGCCTATAAAAGGCAGGGCTGTTTTATTTACAGGAAAACCATTTTTGCTCGTAGGCTTGCATGAACTTTTCATTTCATGCTGAACTTAGGTATACCTCCACAAGGCAAACGGTCTCCGAGTGCATACCTATTCAGTCGCTGCTGCATACATATAGCATCTGTATTCTATGCATTGCATTTAAGCATTGCAGATAAAAAGGTTTGTGGCTTCCTAGTTCCATGTTGAGATGCAGAATTGCTTCTTAAGCGATGATTCTGGTAGCTCCAAGCATTTGAGAGAATGCGTAAGCTTTGTAACACTATCAAGCTTCTTTCTGCAGTCCAACACTGACAAAGCTCTGGAACGTTTTAGATCATGGATGTACTTTTTGGGTGGAGAGCTGGAGAATGTGTGGAAGTATCAGAATGGGTGCTGCGTTTATGATGGGGGTAATAAGTGAAATAAATATCTTCCAGACCTGTTGGAATTGGGGTTTTTAGTTAAAAACTTAACGTTAGTATTTCCCTTTGTAAATGCACATGTTTTTTTGAAGTATTAAGAACTCAACAAGTCTACTTATTTGGAATGTCTTTTTGAAGAAGCTTTTAGATATTTTTGTCCAACTTCTTCCTCAACCTTCTTATATTCCTCTCCCCAAGTTTAGAAACATGTGTCTGTGAAGGTTGTGCCTTCAGACTTTTGATCTTTATTTGGGTTTTTCTTCCCCTACTCCTGCTGTATCACATACTGGTGGTGTTCCCTAACGGAATTACTAGAGGGCTCATGTTCAGAGGCTTTATCCAGAGGATTATTGTCCAGTCATGTTGTTCAATGACTGCCCCTCATCTGTAGGGAGGCTTACATTTAACTTTAATAATCCTAATTGAAATATAAATAACTGTGTTATAGTTGGAGGGCAGAAGGGAGCATAACAAAAGATGCATAGTTAAGAAATATTTACCGAATTTTAAAAAGTATGTGGCCAGAGTGAAGCTGAATGGTGTCCAGTCCTTAGTGGTGTCTGGTGGGTGGAGGTTTCCAATACTTAAAAGCTGTTATGTCCATCTTTTGTAAGACTGATTCCCAGTAATCTCTATCCCACTTGTGGTTTAGAACTGAGTTCTGCTTCAAAGTAAATATTTGGGATATGATCTTATGAACAATTTACCACCTACTTATTCTTCTAACTTTAATAAGCCCCTTAAATACTTGTGTTCAAAACTGTGTGGAGGATCTGGGCTCTGCTCTGTGCTACATGCAAGGCTTGCAAGTATTCACACTTCTTGCCCTGGTTTTTTTTTTTCTGGTTTTAATTTTCTTTTTTATAGACCTTAGAAAACCACTTGAGTACATTTTATGAAATAAAATATTGTCACTTATTTCTCATATGCAAAACCAATTCTGGTAGCAAAGCATAATTCCATCTGCTTTGGTTTGAATTTGAACTTCACAAAATTTAAGTTGTAGCCTATATATCCTGCTTGTTTCTGGCTGGCCAGCTTGGGTTTCATGGAGAACCAATATATTTTGTGTATTTCCTCAGTTCTAAGAAGTGCCAACTATGATTATTAAGGTTTTAAGCCACCTGTTTATTTTTTAGTGAGCTATTTAATTGCTGACATGCACATGGAATCACGTTCATGGTTTTGGCTAAATGTTTTAATGATGGCAGTCAGGTTTCTGATTTGTGCTTCTGAGGAAGAAACCACAGAGATCCTTACCCAAAACGTTCAACAAAAATATCAAAGAAAAATCTCTATTCTGATGCTTCATGGCAGCTTTAAAGTGCTTTGGTGTGCAGTTTTCCTGTTTTGAAACTTGTCTTTTGGCTAGGGAGGTCTTTGCAGTTGTATGTAAAATGTGGAAGAATTCTTCAAAATAGCAGACTAGAAGTCTGGCAGATCCTTTTTTTTCCCCTCTTGTCAGTGAAGTAGCACTATTTCCAACTCTAAATAGCTGTGCTTTCAAAACACTTTTGAATATTCAGTGAAACTCAGTTTTAATCTGTATAATTACTAAAAGTGACTCTTCATATTAAGCAAATTGGCCCAGATGTCCCATTCCAAAGATTCAACCCAGAAATGTTTTGCACTGTAAGAATTCAAATAATTGCCAGTTTTCAGGCTGCTTTGTGTCTCGTAAAAGTTGACTTAAAGAAAATGGCTTCACTAGTCATGTAGAACTGCAAGTAAAGAGCTGGATATTTTGGTCCATACCTACTAAAGCTACACTATTCTGCTGTATAAGTTTGTGGCTTTTGGTTCCACTGCTTCTGCACAGCACCCCTGGTACATGCTGATTGCCTTGCCTTCTGATGGCATCTTCTGTCATTTGTTCCACAAAGCTTCTGCTGCTGCACTATTGCTCCTCTTCCTGCCTGTCCTCAGACCTGACAAACACTGAAGTCCACTTAATTATTTTCTCTTGTTCTTCCCAGTGGATCGTATTGTGGGTTTGGATCAGGTCACTGGCATAACAGAGACGGCTTTTGGCTCTGCGTACAAGACCAAGAAGGGCATGTTTCGTACTGTTGGCCAACTCTACAAAGAATCTCTCACCAAGCTAATGGCAACGCTCCGAAACACTAATCCCAATTTTGTTCGCTGCATCATTCCAAATCATGAAAAGAGGGTATGTACTACTGACCACTTCACTTCAGTGAAGTCTTTGCGTGCGTTTTGAGTTATGCGTGCTGTCTGCGCCTGGCCTTCGAAATCAGAAGCCAGGTTGCACAAAGTTTTCACACTGATCAAATATCTCCTCAGTACTCCCCACACATCCCCTTATTTAGACAGTTGACTTTGTAGAGGGTAGCCTGAAAAACTCCAGTTTTCACTAATAAAAATCAACAGACTAAAAATCATGCTTATGTTGTTTGTCCAGGCTGGAAAACTGGATCCACATCTGGTTCTAGATCAGCTTCGTTGCAACGGTGTTTTGGAAGGAATAAGGATTTGTCGACAAGGATTTCCAAACAGGATAGTGTTCCAGGAATTTAGACAGAGGTAACAGCAGCAAACAGTCTTTTGAGTTTTTATTTCCTTGTTAAATTATTGAAGACACCCCGCACACCCTCTCCCTACCCCAACCCAACTGGAAGAAAATCCAAACCTATGTGTGAGGTCTTGAAGTGACTTGAACTTGAAGCAGTTCAGTATTACAAGTCTGTTGTCAAGACACTAGGAAAGGGGAAACCAGTCTAAAATGGACTTCTGGAAAGATTTCGTGGATAACTTCCTTAGCCATGCACTTGATGACTATAGCTTTATGGGTTTATAATGATGTAGCTGCTTGTTGAATATAAAAGTGTGGGTTTTTGTATCTTTTTTTTTTTTATTTGACTTAAAGGTATGAGATCCTTACTCCCAACGCAATTCCAAAAGGTTTTATGGATGGTAAGCAAGCCTGTGAGCGTATGGTAAGTGCTTATACCAATACATTGTTAAACACTAAAGAGTTGAAGCAAAATTTGTCCTTTCTGTGATGTAAAACAATGTGCTTGCCTGTCCATTTAGATCAGAGCATTAGAGCTGGACCCCAACTTATACAGAATTGGACAGAGCAAGATCTTTTTCCGAGCTGGTGTCTTGGCACACTTGGAAGAAGAACGGGATCTGAAGATCACAGACATTATCATCTTCTTCCAGGCAGTGTGTAGAGGATACCTGGCTAGGAAGTATGTATGCTTTTATGGTTTGTGGGTGTTTTGGTTTTGTGTTGTGTGTAGGGTTTTTTTGGGGTTTGTTTTGTTTTGTTCTTTTTTTCCTCTTTTTTCTCTTGTGGTCATCATAAGTCTCTGATAGGGAGCCCTGCATTGAAACTTCCATTTTAGGAGAGATTTTTCTCATAAAGCGTGTTGCCTGATATTTATTCAAGGTAAATAGGTGAGTGAATTTTTACCTAATGATAAGAATTTGTAGTTTCATTCCATAGCAGTATGGAATTTCATTCCATAGCAATACTATGAAAACATAGTATTCATTACACACGAATAGTATCTCATTTCCTTAGTCTTCCCTTTGACACATGCAACTACCTGTGGTACAGCTCGTGGCTGCAAAACAGAAGTCTTTCCGCTCCACTGGAAGTTCTTAAAGTTACTCTGGAAAGCTGCTTTTCTGGAATTAAAGGACAGTTGAGCATCTAATCCATTCTGATTTTATTGTTTTAAGAAGAACGTCTGTTAAGAATAAGAACAAATAGTATGTGTAATTACTGTTTTGAAAATGGTAAATCCAGGTCTTGTTCTGCCTCTTCATATAAGGAATGAGTACTCCTAAATCAGTGTAGTCAGTGGAACTTAAAAATAAGCCTATTTATGGTCTGAAAGTGTTCTAGGGTTGGGTAGCCTAAAAACTAAAAACACAACTGTATTTAACATGAAATGTTTGCTCTGTCTTCAGGGCCTTTGCAAAGAAACAACAGCAGCTGAGTGCACTGAAAATCCTGCAGAGGAATTGTGCTGCATATTTGAAGCTTAGGCACTGGCAGTGGTGGAGAGTCTTCACAAAGGTTTGCTATATTCTGTCACTTTGACATTTTAAATATGTAGGTACAGGTTCTTACTCGTTCATTTCAAATCTTTGTAGGTGAAGCCTCTTCTTCAGGTCACTCGTCAAGAAGAAGAACTTCAAGCCAAGGATGAGGAGCTCATGAAGGTGAAAGAAAAACAGACAAAAGTGGAGGCAGAACTTGAGGAAATGGAAAGGAAACATCAACAGGTCTGTGCCCAAGAAGTGCTCTTGCCATGTGGGATGCATATGCACTATGTACTGTGTGAGGGAGCCACGTTAGGGTGACACTTGGGATCAAAGCTCACTGCAAATCAGGGGTGCTAACTCCATTCACATTCAGCTAAAATCTGAAATAGGAAGTTACAACACGAGCATTCCTCCAGGAGTGCAGAAACATCATGTTAACTAAACTCTTGAGGCCTCACCTAGTTTACAAGAGAACTTCAGCTGCAGCATCACTTTCCTTTTCAGCTGTGTTTTTGGGGTAGGATGCTTCTGTGATGTGCATTTGCTGTTTAAGACATGGGGAAATAATTATGACAATTATTGGACAAAACAGAACATTAATTTATGCTGATAAGGAACATTATCAATTTTAAAAATAGTTGAAGGAGTGTCAGGAGAGATAGACATGCACCAGACACTCTGGTAATTATAAGACATTATAGAACTGGGATGGATATCTAGAATGGCAAAGCATCAATTCCCATTGATGAAAGGGCTGGAGGGCATGGCCTGGGAGGATTGTCTAAGGATACTGAGTTTGTCCTCGTCGCCCTCTTAAAGTTTCTTGAGGAGGGGAAGTGTAGAGGCATGTGTTCCATGTGTCCATTGACAGGACACACGGGAATGGTTTAAAGCTGTGTCAGAAGAGTTTCAGACTCGGTATTAGGAAATAAGTCTTCACAGAGAGGGTGGTCAAACACTGGAACAGGCTTTCTAGAGAGATGGTCAATGCCCCAAGCCTGTCAGTGTTTGAGGCATTTGGGCACTATGCTTAATAATATGCTTCAGCCCTGAAGTGATGAAACAGTTGGACTAGATGATTTTTTTTTGTAGGACCGTTCCAACTGGAACTCGTCTCTTGTTGTGTTTACACAGCAAGAAGCCACGTGTTCCAGTTCTGTTCCAGTGACTCCCAGTGCCAGCTTCAGCCCCGCTATACATGTCACTGCTCTGCCACTGTGCAGTGGTGAGTGTGAGGAACAGTCCAGGGAACAGGGACTTACCTCATCTTTTTGCTGCTGGTAGAGCAGGGCAGGTGGGGTAGGCGCAGTGGAATCTGCCCCTTAAACTGGGGTGACAAGTGAGTGAATATTGCTGTATCCCTAGTATGAAAACTGGTGTGGTCTTGTTTGTTGATAAAGCCCCCTGCTAAAGGTCTTTGTGTTTGGATGTTAACCAGGGAGTCTAGAATTGGAGCAGAACTTGGCCTTTAAGTAACTTAGTAGTTGACATATGTATAAACTCTTATGAGAGGCTTTGAAATGTTTTACTGCTTTACTACCTTTTGTGTCTATTTGCAGCTTCTAGAAGAGAAGAACATTCTTGCAGAGCAGCTGCAGGCTGAGACAGAGCTCTTCGCAGAAGCTGAGGAGATGAGGGCACGCTTGGCTGCCAAAAAACAAGAGTTGGAAGAAATTCTCCACGATTTGGAGTCCAGGGTTGAAGAAGAAGAAGAAAGAAACCAGATATTGCAGAATGAGAAAAAGAAAATGCAGGGCCATATTCAGGTGTGTCTCTTGATAACAGGAAGTGGAAAAGCATGCAGACAGGGCAGTTAGGGATGGGAAAGCTCCCTCAGCATCTCAGTGGCACAGAGGAATTCAGCTCCTTAGCACTATGTGTGGCATAATACCAATCTGAATTTTTCCTTTCTCTTTCTCTGTTTAGCTTCGTGTGGTCTCCAGGCATATGAGGGTGAGGAAAGAAAAAGTCAAAATGCCCTGTTGGTAGCTGTAGTGTATTCAGGGAGAGTATTGAAGGTAGCAAGCTCTTTTGAGTGAGTTGAAACGAGGAATAAGTGCAGGGAGCTTACCTGCTTTCTTATAGAAACAAAGACTGATGGGATGATGTCACTAATGAGAGAAGTGTGCCTTTTTGACTGAAATCGGTGAATATCACGAAGAATATTCTTCCCTTGATTTTTACGAAACTGAGAAATCTTCTCCTAGTTACTTTTTTTGTGAAAATCAGATGATTTAGATCATCCTTTTGAATACCTGGGGACCTTAAAAAACAAGGGAATACCTGAGAATTTGTCTTGCAAAATGCTCAACGTACTTGAAGGGAAAATTAAACCCCACGTCTCACAGCTCTTGATGCCTTTTAGTAAGTGGCCATTAATGTATGGCTGAGAATATTATTTAAAACAATGAATGAATAGAAGCACACTATGTTATTACTTTACTTTTCTAGTTATATCTAGCTGTTTTTGCTGGTATCTGAACCATTTCAGCTGGAACAGTGCAGTCTAGATTCATACTGAAATCGGGAGATCTGTTTCCTGTGGCGTCTCTTTGCAGGCATTGCACTCTTAGACCAGAAGCTCTGTTCAGGTGCTGTATGCTAGGAAGGCTTTGCCATACAGCCTGGTCTGATTTGGTTGTCATTAAGCAGATTTTTTTATTTTCAGGATTAGGAAAGTGAGAGATCAGTGAAGTGACTGTTTCCTAGATGGCATAGTTCAGCCAGAGCTGAGAGTATAAAAAATTCCATGTGTGTCGCATAGCCATCAATTTAATTACCAGATCATTTATACTGTCAATATACTAACTCAGTGAATGCATTTTTAGTGTTAGTTAGGGCAGGTGACTTTACAAAATAATTCTCTCTTTACCAGTTAAAAAACCAACCAAACAAACCCCACCCAATAAACCTCCCAAACCAACCAACAAAAAAAAACACCCACAAAAAAACACCCAAGAAAAATCATAGGGATAACCTGGAAAATGCAGTTGCCTTTCTTCCCAGGACCTGGAGGAACAGCTTGATGAGGAGGAGGGAGCTCGACAGAAGTTGCAGCTTGAAAAAGTGACAGCTGAAGCTAAGATCAAGAAGATGGAAGAAGAGATCCTATTGTTGGAGGACCAAAATTCCAAATTTTTGAAGGTGAGACCAGTATGTGTGGTGAAGATTCTGTGCATAAGTAATAGTAGTACCAAGTGATAGCTCTGAAACACTTGAGACCACTTATATATAGTTGTGCCTGAAGACTTGTGGGATTTGAACAGGTTGAAGCTGAGACACTTAAAGCTTCTTTTGAACTGACCTTTGAAAGGGAGGTATTTACCATATATTCTTGCTCATTTAGGAGTTTCTCCAAATCTAAGAGCTGGAAACAGTGTTTATCATGGCTACCATTGTTCTTGGCAAACTGTACAGATCATGTTTGGCTTAGATGATTTGTGGCCTGTATTTCCAAAAGTGTCCAGCAAATACTGTCCTAAAACTAGGACTCCCACATACTAAATTCCAAGTCTCACTTTCTTGGAAAACAAATGTTCATGATTCTGTACTATTCCAATTGATCCTTAATATTGACAGGTCACTCACTGGAAATAAAGTCTGTGTTAATATGCTGTACCAGACCTCTCTATGAATTTTATATATTCAGTTATTTCTGCTGCTTAGAGACTCTTCAATTTGTGTTTTCTCCCCTGTCTCCTAACTAGGAAAAGAAGCTGATGGAGGATCGAATTGCTGAATGTACTTCTCAGTTAGCTGAAGAAGAAGAAAAGGCCAAAAACTTGGCCAAGCTCAAGAACAAGCAGGAAATGATGATCACTGATTTGGAAGGTTTGTTCTTACTACATTTGCCTACTAAGAGCGTGGGCATCATGCTAGAAAGGAATGGATCACTTACTACAATGTGTATGGTATCTGGTCCAGCCTGAGTGTAGCCTCACATGTAGATACCTTAATAGCTGTTACTTTTGGCTAAATCCTGAAAGAAATTTGCTGCATGCAAAACTTCATGCATTTGGCTGCTCAGTCTCTCAGTGTTTAACTTCTTAGTTGTTACTCTCTGAGAATCCATTTTGTTGACAGACACACTCTGAAATGCACGATGTGGCAAGCGTGCCTTGGCAAAAGGTAAAACCTCTCTGGGAAGTTGCTGCCCTTCGCTATGGTAACACATTAGCATAACGTATTTCTGGAAGAATGCTGGTAGGCACTCTGCAGGCTTCTAGTGTTTTTTTGAATAAGCAAATCTGAATTGTTTTGCTTTTCTTAATGCTTTGCTTATCTAAAGTGCTTTCACTTCTTTGGCCACTTATTCTGATTGTTTTGCCTGTGCTGTCACAGGCTAAACTAGCCCGGAATGTAACCTTTTCTTGATTTTGATGATAAATTACTTATGGCTGTAAATGGCTATTGTGCAACATGAATAAACTGCCAAGTCAAACTTGCAAAATGTAAGACAAAGTTACTCTCTCTGCCCTCATTTGGAAATAGTTTTTTCACTTACTCTATTATGGCCCATCTTGCTACATATTTTAAAACTGATAGACTTATGTAAGAATACAAAAGTTTAACCTTATCTGTATAGGAAAGTATTGGACTAAAAAGGCTAGCATGTGGTTGATGTACCTTTTCTTTAAAAATCACATTCAGAGACCTCACGATAGGCATAGCAAACTTTACTCATTGGAAAATAATGCTTGAGTAGTTGCATGTCTAAATCAGGACTAGTGTCTCTGAAGATACTTGACAGATGTCTGTGGTTATAGTACCATTCCAAGAATGATGACCTTAAATACAAGCTGTAATTTCCATTTCTGAGGCATGAAGTGTCTTGGCTAGTAAAGCGCAGTAAGATGATATTTACTCTTGGGGATGATTCAAGAAGCCACTAAGGTCTCTCTACTAGGGTCTTGGCACTGCTAGGCACTGAAATTTTGGGGGGGGAATGGGAGGAATTAAATCAGTTTACTATGATTTTTCTTAATTACAAAATTGGGTCTTATGACACTGTTCTAATTGTCACTCACCAGAAATATAATATTAAAACAGGGGGAAAAGTGCTATTTTTTGAATGAGGAACTATTTAGAGAAAAACAGCATTAACTTGGCTTGTCTGGAAAACCCCAAAAAGCCCTGGGTGGCTCTAAGAGATGATTTGTGAGCACGGCTCCCGTTCCATGTAGAATGTGATGTCCTTAATCAGTAGCAGGCTTAGAGTGTGAGAGAAATCTCTGCACTGAGGACTCTTAAAGTATTGTACAAGTCCAAACTTATCTTATGCTAATGCACATTGTGCTAATGCCACGCTAAGCACCAGTGGTTTGGCAAAGCCTTCCTGGGGCTTAAATATTTGACATACCTGGTTATTAGCTGACTGCAAACAATGCAGACAGTAACTATCTTAATCTGACAACAGGAGCTCAATTAAATGTCTTGTAGTATGGCACTGATAACTGGATGGTTTTCACAAACACCTTAGGACGGGAGTATCTCAGCTACACAAGTAAATCACTGGAAGCTGTCGGGGTTGCAAAGCCTTGCTAAATATTAATGGGATGTGAGTTAGTGGCACAGTTACCTGCAAAAAGTCTTTATCCAAGTTTTTTTTAAGCTATATTATTTTCCAGTAGACCTGTTGGAGTCTAGCCTAGCCCTTCCAAAACTGTACAAGTCATTTTTTCCAGCCTGTAGTTGATCTTAATTTTTGAATCTAGGCCAGATGATCACAGACACCAAGAAGCTCAAACTGCTCTTCTGTTATATCCCACTCCTTAATTTCTGTCAAGATGAGGTTATGTTTCTGTTCCCATATTTCAAACTTTCTTTCTCCAGGCATTGACCTTTTTCTTCACTTTATCGAAATCATTCAGTCCTACTTGTGTCTGATTTCATGTATCCCAGTCAGCCTTCCAGCTACAGATTGGACTAAGAATTGACCAGCACAAACAAACTTCCCACCCTTTTTGCCACCCCATGGTCCTGCCCCTGAGCCTTCTGAGGATGATGAGGAAAAATTATATGTAAATATACTTCTTTGCTTCCTCAGAGCGTTTAAAAAAGGAGGAGAAGACCCGCCAAGAATTAGAAAAAGCTAAAAGAAAACTTGATGGTGAAACAACAGACCTACAGGACCAAATAGCTGAGCTGCAAGCCCAGATTGAAGAACTGAAGATCCAGCTGGCCAAGAAAGAGGAAGAACTGCAGGCAGCACTTGCTAGGTCAGAGCATGGTGGGGCTTATGACTGCAGAAGTGTGGGAGAAGCCTGCTTTCCCAGACAGAGTTGTTTGACTGCAAACATTGGAACTGGGAATGTTAAAGCAGAATCCAGTCCACACATGTATTAGAGCATCTCTAGACACCTGTGCTGTGTGTAGACACAGCAAAAAAAGGAATTTGGCATTTTATCAGCATCCTTGCTCTACAAAGCTTCAAAAAAAAGAATTTTCACCAGGGTTATAATAGTGTTTGGGGTATAGAAGCTTTCTTAGTCTCCCAGTTTGGCCTCAGGAGGGGAAAACAAAGCATGTACCTCTCAGTGAGCCCTCTTAGAGTGCTTTTAATGACTGGGTAGGACAGGCGTTGTCAAGATTTGTGTGGTAATCATGTTATGATAAAAGCTAAACACCAGTTGTATTTTTTGAGTAGCAATCTGTAATTTTGCAAAAAGATAAAATTCTACAAATGGTATACTTTTGGGACATTGCTGGGCTGTACAAAATTGCAATACTTGAATGTAAACTTCAAAGCATGGTTGTTCTCAAGGTGCATCTGTAGTACCTGGGGCACTGTGCTTGTCAGGATCTTGAGAATAACAGTAGTGGTTTTCTGTCTGAAGTTTTAGAAGATCTATTTTATTCTGCTGGCAAAGTTAAGATGTAATTTATGCACATAATTTAAATAACACTGGAATTCTGTGAGAGTAGATCTGAAGCTACAAAGTATCATTAACTGTTGTGCCTCTTTTTAACAGAGGTGATGACGAAGCAGTTCAGAAAAACAATGCACTGAAAGTGGTAAGAGAGTTGCAGGCTCAAATTGCAGAACTCCAGGAGGATCTTGAATCTGAGAAGGCATCCCGCAACAAGGCAGAAAAGCAGAAGAGGGATTTAAGTGAAGAGTTAGAGGCTTTAAAAACTGAACTGGAAGATACCTTGGATACCACTGCAGCACAGCAAGAGCTGAGGTAGGATCGTAGGCCTGTGTAAGAAGGTACCATTAAAATTCATCTTTAATTTACAAAAGTTTAAAATGTTAATGTTTTTGATAACCCTTGATGCTTCCTCTAGGACAAAGCGTGAGCAGGAAGTGGCTGAACTGAAGAAAGCTATTGAAGAGGAAACCAAAAACCATGAAGCACAGATCCAGGAAATCAGGCAGAGGCATGCTACTGCCCTGGAAGAGCTCTCTGAACAACTTGAACAGGCCAAAAGGGTGAGAAGAAAATGAGTTACAGAAACACACTTTTCTGCTTCAGGGTTTCTTCGAAATACTAAGTGTTGTGGTCCCTTCCAGTGACATCTGCAGAGCTAAGTTGCCCTCTATACATGCATAACGATTGCAATTAAATATCTCATGCTGGTTTGAATGTATTGCAACTATTAGAGTCTTGGCATCTGTCCGAAAAGTGTGTGTTAGACTTGGAAACGGCGCACGTGGAGATGAACTGTGTAGTGCTTACGTAGGAATTCTCTAACAGTCCACTTGCTGCTTTGGTGAAAAGCAGTTCTCTGCATGCCTGAACTGCAGAATGCTTCCAAATAAGGTAATTGTAATGTCAGCACTCGCATAGCAAATCGTGAGTGCAGGTAGTGTGAAAGTTCTTCCAGCCACTCTTAACTTCGTGCTGGTACCGTGGCCTCCAGTGTCCCGTGTCTGTGGCGTGCCTTGCCAATCCGCACAGCTGAGCAGAGTCCTCCGGCAGCCTCCAGTGCAGGCAGGAGGGGGACACAGCATGGCTCCTACTAAGGTTGCTTCAGTGTCTTGTTCAAAAGTGGAATTATTCCAACACTGCCCCCGAAAACAGTGTCTTTAGTTTGTGAAATTATAGTTTGATCATTCACAAGCCTGCGTGTGGACAGTTCCTATGCTGCAGTAATGTTTGGATATAGGGAATACTTCACAGGCTTCCTCAGTTTGAAATACTGAGAACTGTAGTTAAAGCTAGTGGAAATAACGGTTTATTCGCCTGAAGATCATGCATGTCTTCTGCTCCTTATTCATTAAATATGGAAAAATACCCTACAGTCTTAAACAAAGGTCCTGTGATAAGATGATGTTAGTTCTGGTGATACAGTAAGAGTGGCAGTGAAACATGCGTATGCCAATTACTACTTTTCAAAAGGTTTTTGACAAATGTCAGTTCGGTGGTGAAAAGTGCTTTGTTATGCACTTCCAGGCTGCTATGCGTACTAAAATCAGGGCAGCTTTAGTTGATATCTTTTCCTTTTATTTCTGTGAGATGAGCCATGCTGTCTGTTAATGGGCACATTCCTTCCTACTTACAGTGCTACTCAAACAGTCATTGCACAGCGCTGACATCCCAGGTCTTGTTGAATTCCTGGAAGTATCTTCTGGTCCCCACTGTTACCTGTGATAGCTGAGTGGAATAACTTGCAGTAACTTAGTCTTTGTCTGACGTACACGGGGTGTTACATGGCAGCATTTTAAACACTCCCTACTTACAACGTGATGAGTACCTGTTTTATCTTTGAACTCGGGAACCTGATTTGCTGGACTGAATATTTTCTAGCAGGAAACTTTATTGATATGTAATGAAGTTCTGGATTTCTTTCCTTTTTTTCTTTTCTAGTTCAAAGCAAATCTTGAAAAAAACAAGCAAGGCCTAGAGTCTGACAACAAGGAGTTAGCCTGTGAAGTGAAGGTACTGCAGCAGGTCAAGGCAGAGTCTGAACATAAGAGGAAGAAGCTTGATGCTCAGGTGCAAGAGCTAACTGCTAAGGTTACAGAAGGAGAAAGACTGAGGGTGGAGCTGGCGGAGAAAGCTAACAAGCTGCAGGTAAGGCTGTATGGAAGTCCTAAACTGCCCAAAGATAGGCAAGAAATTGAAAGTCTTAACCATATGCAGTAATGGCTGGGAGAAATGACTTTCAAAGATGGAACTGGGCCCGTAGCTGACATGGGAGGTGACCTCAGTCATACACTCTCATCTACCTGAAGGGCCTTAGAGGTGTGATGTGCCTTTTGTGGAGACACCTGGGCAGCCGTGACATTAATCTTGAATTTTGTGGGCTATGTGAGAATTATAGTGGCTTTTAAGTACTTAGCTTCCTATCCTGGAGATAAAATCCTGTAGGAGGCTCTGCCTTGCCAGGCTGCTGACAGCTGGCCTACAGGTTTTGGGCTTGGAATTGAGTAGGCTGGACTGAGCTCATTCAGATCTGTGAGAAAAAATGTACTGAATGATGGTGGCCACAGGTTTCATTTTGTGCTTCCAAGCTAGGAGCTTGGCAGATAAGCATTGTTAAAAAAGGCACAATTTTCTGGGAAGTGAAGAAAAGGACGAAATGCAATCAGGGCTGACTTTTTTAAACCACAGCAACAAGTACTTTAGGTAAATCAAGCTGAAATACTTCAAAAAAGGGATGGCCCAGTTGTTTCTGGAGGAATCTTTCAGGCAGTCTCTCACTGTATATAAAGTATCATAGCCTAGAAGAGTGAGAGTTGGCACCTGGCAGCAAACTTTTCTCTTGCAGTGATCCTTTAAACCTGGCTGCCACTCTGATAATCCCTGAATTAAGGGTCCCATAAAATATGTGGTTAAAAATAGCATTTAAGTATTAATGCAGATACTGGGGTGACATGATCTGCTGCCTAGCATGCGTAGCTCTTGTTATGTTGTACCGCTTCAGTTCAAGACTGACATCCAACTTGAATGAGTTTCTAGCCAAACTTCCGTACTTCTCGCTTGTTGTATATCTCTGTTGGGATCTACTGTTGTCTTGCCATACCTGGAACTCAAGGTTTTGTTCTGCAGTTCCAGCTCCCAGTGGGATGTAGGCTTTGCCATGAGTCAGCTGCAAGGTGTTACCTTTAGACTGCTTGCTTTGCAGAACGAGTTGGATAATGTCTCAAGTCTCTTGGAGGAAGCAGAGAAGAAAGGCATTAAGTTTGCCAAGGATGCGGCTAGTTTGGAATCTCAGCTTCAGGATACACAGGTGTGTGTGCAGTGAAACTTGAACTTTGCACTCAAGCTTTGTTCTGCATTGAAATGTGAACTGCATAACAGAAAATACGTTCTCATTCATGGTTTGGAAAGCCCCTTGGGTAAAACCTGTATCCTTTTGAAGTGCAGTGAAATGTGACGTATAACGACTGCTCAGCTACATGTGGAGCTAACTTTTCATTATCCAAGGTTCACTACTACTACTTAGTCTCTGTGGGAGATAAGTCTTAAGTCAGAAAAACCTTTCCAAGTAGAATGTTAATGAAAATACGATCCTTGGGGTATATGAAAGAGACAAGGGACAACACCCTGTCTTTTACTGATGGCTTCAGTTCTTAAAAATCCAGGTGTTCGGCTTTGAGTTAAACAATGCAGCTTTATGCATGTATTCATCACTTAAATATAGTTTTTTTCCTTGTATAAAAATGGTGATGGTGACTGCTCGAATAATGTTAATCACCACTGGGGAGTTCTGTGAGGAACAGGGTATAGGAGAGGGTATGGCGGTTACACCTTCCAGTAGTTTCTGTTATGACAGCTTCCACTATTCCAGCTATCTTTAAACTGACCTTTATATTTAAGCAACACAGCACAGCTTGTAAGCATGCTGCCATTGCAGGATTTGATGCAATGCATTCTTCCCAGGTTGTTTAAAATAGGTACTCCATATGCCTGTCTGAAAGAATTAAAACAAATTTTGAAGGTGACTTCTGTGCTCGTCCCTTTAAAGAAGGAAAGGTGTCACCCATTACCTTCTAGATAGGACAGAGATTGTCATGGATTCCTTGATCAGAAATATGCTTTATAAAGGTTTGTGTGTGCCCAGAATGAATGACCAGTGCCTGCTGGAAATCCCAAATTACACATATTTTCATAAGCGTATGCTTATGCTGTGAGAAAAATAATCAATCCTTTAAGTCTGTATGGAGTGATGGAAGGTGGTAGCCCGGGGCCAGAGTCTTCACACTATGAACCAAACTGAACTGTGAATATGTCTGGTTGTGTAACAGGAGCTGCTTCAGGAAGAAACCCGCCAGAAACTCAACCTGAGCAGTAGGATCAGGCAGCTGGAAGAGGAGAAGAACAACCTGCAAGAGCAGCAGGAAGAAGAAGAAGAAGCCAGAAAAAACTTGGAGAAACAGATGCTCGCCTTGCAGTCACAGGTGAGCTGTTGTAAGTGGCAGGACTCCTGTAAGGCCTGCATGTTCCAGGTGAGATGACTTGATGTCCCGCACCTTTCTGGGAAAATGTCACGTAGTTGTCACATGTGCTAGGCCACATTTCTGAATAGAATTTCCTGTGGTCTTTCTCCATTGCAGTAACCTGGTACAACTAACTACAGTGGGTGGGGCTTTCCCCTACTTGGTATCATGCTGGCTCAATTTTTATAACATCCATTTCTGGGTTTGTGATTTGGATCTAATGCCTTTGTTTCCTTGTGATGCACTAAGGAACATTATTTTCTTTCATTGCTTTTTAGTTGGCTGATGCTAAGAAGAAGGTAGATGATGACTTGGGAACCATTGAGGGTTTGGAGGAAAATAAGAAGAAATTACTGAAGGATATGGAGTCCTTAAGCCAACGCCTGGAGGAGAAGGCAATGGCTTATGACAAACTGGAAAAGACGAAGAATCGCCTGCAGCAAGAGCTGGATGACCTGATGGTAGATCTAGATCATCAACGCCAGATTGTTTCGAACTTGGAGAAGAAGCAGAAGAAGTTTGATCAGGTAGTTCAGTCTTCTGTCATCTTGCTGCTTTCTATGATTTTTGAATAGCACCTTGTTTATATTGTTACTGCGTAAAGGAGCCTTGTAAAAAGAAAGGTCTGACTAGAGGCCTGTGATTATTGATCCAGCTTTCTGAGCAACTTGGCCATTGTGAGGAGTAACTTGTCACTAAAAATTTCAGAGAGCTAAATGCCAGCTTTGAGTCTTGTTAGATCAAGTAATAAGCTCAAACAAAAAGGAAATTATATTGGAACAAAAACTTAAGAGTATTACTGTAATCCCTCGAGACAAACCAAAAGATGAAAATAATACAAAACTTAATCTTGGCGAGTAGCTTGCTTTCCTCATCTCTTCCCAGAGAAGCTGTAACTGTGTTCTTCCTAGCACTTTGATCAAGATTGAGAGACTGGACAGCTTCTGAAGGCCAGTTAAGCTTGGAGCATTAACCACTTCATTGAATAAGACACCTGAGGCAGGAAGGACCCAATTGCAGAACTGATGAGACGGTTTAACTATTTCTTATGTTCAGATGCTGGCAGAAGAAAAGAACATTTCTGCCAGATATGCGGAGGAAAGAGACCGTGCTGAAGCAGAAGCAAGGGAGAAGGAAACCAAAGCATTGTCTCTGGCTCGGGCTTTGGAAGAAGCCCTGGAAGCTAAGGAAGAATTCGAAAGACAGAACAAACAGTTGCGTGCAGATATGGAAGACTTAATGAGCTCTAAAGATGACGTGGGCAAAAATGTAAGTACTTTTCCCCACCCTGCTTTGTTACATGCTGCATGGGGAATAACACAGTGAAACTCCCTGGCTGGAGAAGTACATTTGACACAAGGCCAGAACGTTTGGAAGCTGTTTTGTCACTCAGTTCTGGAGGAGTTAATGTGTAGACTAATGGGGCGGTGCTTATAATGTCAGGCCTCTTCAAAAGGTGTGAAGTCGTGGAGGGCAGAAGATGCTGGCCAAATGGCTGATGGCACCTGCGCTACATCCACAGCTTGTCTTGTTAAGACATTGCCATTGTGGTGTTCCTGTGGAGATGTTTGCTGGGTTCTCTGCTCTGCCTGTTCTGATTCAGTGCCTGATCCAGAGCATCAGGAAATGTGGTGTATGGTGTTCGTGTGATGTCGTAGCTCACTGTTAGTAACTGCTGATGTTGAGGTACCTGAAGGAGAGGGTCTGATTCACATTTGTGGCTCAGGTTCATGAACTGGAGAAGTCGAAGCGAACTTTAGAGCAACAGGTTGAAGAGATGAGGACTCAGCTTGAGGAACTGGAAGATGAACTGCAGGCCACAGAAGATGCTAAGCTTCGCTTGGAAGTGAACATGCAGGCCATGAAAGCCCAGTTTGAGAGAGATCTGCAAGCCAGAGATGAACAGAATGAAGAGAAAAAGAGGATGCTGGTTAAACAAGTATGTCTTATTTTACTGTACTTAATAGTGGGAAGGGTGTGATGACCTCTTGACAAAGCTCTGTGGCTTTGGTGATAATTTGCTACCAGAAAAATAAAGCTGTGCTTAAAGCTCCCATCCCAAAGAGATCCCAAGCGCTGATCTTTACAAACAATAGAACAGGTCTCATTGAGGACTGGCCACTGTTAAGTGTTAATGTTAGTCTGCTACGGATGGGCTGGCAATTCAACTGTATCTTGCCTCAAAAGCGCTCAGCATGCAAGTAGATTTGGCTACAGCCGCATGGGTGTATTTCAGGCCAATCCTATGTGGTGTACAGGAACAAATCCAGGGATGCCAACAATATCTGAAAGACTAAGTGAACAGTTTCCTAAATGAAAATTGTGGCAAATACTCCAGATTTGCCAGACTTGAATCTCTTCAGATCTGCTCTGTGTTACTGGAATGCTCAAGAAATGCTGTTTAAAATTTCATGCTTGTTAAGAGAAGGTGGTTCTAAATTAACATTTCTAAACCTTTAAGGAAAAGACACCTAATATTTCAAGATTTATCACAAAAAAAAAACAAACCAAAACTTACTGAGAAACTGAGAATCACCAATATAGAGATTTATCAAAAATAAACACAAGCAGTGGCCTTGGAAGGCTTTTGAAGGTCATTGCCATGCAAAATTGCTGTTGTCTTCCACTGGAAAAGAGCTTTTGACCAGGCATGAGGAGGGAGGCTTGATTCAAACAGAGATGTGTTCTTTCATGTTGGTAACTTGTGGCATTTCTGGCTCAGTTTTATTTTGTGTATGTGTTTGGCTTAGTTCATGTTGGCTGGCTGCTTAGATACTTTGCTTCTGTTTGGTTTTAGGAAAAGTTGTTGGTGTATAAATGCTCGTAGCACAGTTGATTTTACAGAGAATTTTTTTTCTTTTCCTTGAGAAAATGAGGTGATTCTGTATCTTATTTTCCTCTTTGTGGTTCGGTCAGTGATACCTGCATAGGGATAGATGTGCTGGGCAAGAAGCTGGCTGCCACATAGCTGAGCAGATGAAATGCAAATGATTCAGATGCTGAGTTACTGTCGGTTTTCCTCTTGGTCAGTTCAGAGATTGCTTTGTGGATTCCTTTTTGCCATCCACAGTGCTTTCCCATGTAGCTTGCGTTCTGTGGGTCTTACCAATCGAGTAATGTCAGTTCTGCCCTGCAAAGGCCTCGGAGTCACCGACCGTTGTGTCAGGCTTTCGTTGGCTCCGTTTTTGGAAGGGAGCCTGTTAAACACCTCGATCTCCCAGGTGCGAGAGCTGGAGGCGGAACTGGAAGATGAGCGCAAACAGAGGGCTCTTGCTGTGGCAGCCAAGAAGAAAATGGAGATGGATCTGAAAGACCTGGAAGGTCAGATAGAAGCTGCAAACAAGGCTCGAGATGAAGCAATCAAACAGCTACGTAAGCTGCAGGTAGGCACAGCTAATCAACTGAGCCCTTTCTCTCCTGGTGACAGTCTGTCAAGGGTGCTGCTTTTCACTAAATTCGTTTGTAGCTTGGAGAGAAAAGGAGTGCCAGACTTGGCCAGGCTGGCAAGTGCCATGGAGTACCTGGCCTGAACGTGTCACCTTCTCAAAACTCTGCATCCTGTTGTCAATAAGGAGTTATGTGGCCCCCACATACTCCTATTCAGTAGTCATATTGTTCTTTATTTCAGCACTTTGCAACAAGGATTTACTGAGTATTGTTTTCTAGACTGCATTTTTAAAATTTATGGTTGGTTGTATCTTCGAATTTATTGATTTGAGCCCAGCTCTTGCTCCCTGCTGTTTCCTCAGGTTGTTGAACTTGAGGTGTTTCAGCCAAAAACGCTTCAGAGAAAAAGGAGGACTGGATTTTAGTTGCTTTTAAAAAGCTCCAAGATGCCCATTTTTTTTAATTTGGCAAGAAAAACACAGTCCTTATGTCAAGGATTTATTTCCCATTCCCAGAAAAATATCCAGCATTTGGTACAGTTAAGTTTTGCCAAAAACCCACTGGGCCCGCCCAAAGCCACAGCAGCGTGAGGCCATGGCAAGACCATGTCGAGCACACAGCAAGTTAGATTGCCCTTCTGCCCTGTCCACTTCATTCTTTGGCAGTTCTACTGCCTCAGCTGAATGAGGGTGATTCCGGAAGCGTGCCTCGTGTGAGTAGGGAGCGTGGGTTAAGGTGAGAAGTGCTGGTTCCTGGCAGCGCCCCACTCCGTGTCCAAGAGGACGGGGCAGCTGGGAGCTCATCCCGCAGCTCTGTGCACTGTCGTGCAAGACTGAAACAAGTGGTCCCAGGGCTAGGGGTGTTCTAGGCATGAAGGGACCACTTAAATGCCGTTGCTCTGACTTTTCTTTCTCTCAGCACCTCAGGTCATACTGAGATCTCAGTCTGTTAACAGTGTTTAGAGGGAAGCAGCAGTGTGTACTTCCAGGTGCGTGAAACAGTGCGTGGTGTTACCCACGCTGAGAATAGCTTCTTGCCTTGCATCCTTGTAATACATTTTGGGTGTTTCAGTCAACCTCAGTAGATTTTTCACAATCCATTCCAAGAGATTTACTCTCCATAAGTTTCATGACAAATGGTGGGGGGGAAGGCAGCTCTTGTATTAGTGTTTTCCTACAAGAAATGTACCAGGCAAATGCAATGAAGTCTTATAATGTGATGTTTCTGACCAGGAATTGAGTGATGGAAGGATGAGAAAATGAAGTCTTACTATGAAAATAAGAACTAAAAAGGCATTAATGTGGTGTGAAGCCACTTGGGGAGGAAGCTCTCCCCCTCTTGGGGAGGAGTAGCTCTTCAGAGCTACTAACAAATGTTGTGATTGTCCTAATGCAGCATGGCTGCTTCTTCCTCCTGCTTTCCTATTGCAGGCTCAAATGAAAGACTACCAGCGGGAGCTGGAAGAAGCCCGTGCGTCCAGAGACGAGATCTTCGCACAGTCCAAAGAGAGTGAAAAGAAGCTCAAAGGTCTTGAAGCAGAAATACTCCAGCTCCAAGAGGTGAGAGTGAAATCCAAGAAATTTTGGTTTTCTTCCTAAAGTAAGGAGAAGATCAGAGTAAAGATAAAGTAAAAAGCAATCTAATGAGTTGAACAGAGACATAGGAGCCAGGGAAACTTGCACTTCCCCCCTGCCCCAAGTCATTAGTGGACTTCTTATGGCTTTGTAGGAACCATTCTAGTAGTCTGGACCTCATGTCTCTGCCTGGGTAGCAGGAAAGCTTTACTACTGCTTAAACAGATTTGAGGCCTCACTAAAATTTGCAAGGTGGTTCAAGAGTCCAAAAGGTGCACTGTCAGTACTAAACCTGATTGTTGCAAGTACATACAAACCTAACAATCTCTGCAGTACCTCAGTGGATCATTTCAGTCTGTGGAGGTTTATCACTCTGGTTCTCATCCCTTTCTCACAGGGGCATGTGTTCCCTCACAGTTAGCAATTCATGTAAGAGCTCAAAATCTTGCTACGTATCACCTCCCATTACCTACTTGGTCTGCCACGAGGTCGAACACCAGCAGAATTGCCTCGTGTGAGACTGCCTCGTTTTGCCCTGTGTTAGCTGCAGACCAGAGCCTGAAGCACTTGCTCAGATCTCAATGCACTTACGGTTCGATCCTTTACAGGTAACGTGTGGCTTAGAGCTGCTCCATGCCACGTTCTTGCCGACCTCAGGCTTGCCAGGCTTGCACTGCAGTGCGTGTCACTCTCCTTCGCAGCGAACACCTGGGTGTTTCTACCACCGAGGAGTTTTGCAATAGGAGATTCAGTGCTGTTTATACTATTGTGCTAAAGCTTTTATTTTTCTGTACTTTGCAACGTACTGTGGAGGAACCTAAAGAATTTGATTAATTTAGTGCCCACTTCACACTGAATGTGTGTGTTAGCGGATGTGACAGAATGGTTTTATCCTGCTGTTTAGGGCTTGAATGTTATTGATCTTCCCAGGTTTATTTTTTCCTTGCCTGTGTGCAAGGAATGCTTCAGGGACAGGGGAAGTAAATCCATGGTAGTCGTGTGGCTGTACGGGGGGACGTGTCACAATGGTGTGTCCTGCTGGCTTCTACACTGGCTGCTTCTGCTCATCCATTAGAAGACCTCAGGGGTATCACCTTCACTGCACCTCCCAAAGTTATTAGAAGGCTGAATTGTTTGCAAAAGTTCTGAGATTCCCAGTGCTGTAATGAATCTTTTCCTAAACCTTCCCAGGAATTTGCTGCCTCCGAAAGAGCCCGTCGTCATGCTGAGCAAGAAAGGGACGAGTTGGCCGATGAGATCGCAAACAGCGCGTCAGGAAAGTGAGTCATCAAATGTATTAATTGGGCGTCTGAAGAGCTGGAGGCAGCAGCAGCTGTAGCTCTGTTTGCTTGTGAATTCTGCACTGACCTCTCTCACGGTAAAAGCTCCCTGTTGTGAGGAGAATGGCTTACGTAGTAGCCTCTCATGACAGTGCAACGCCTGAAGTGTCAGAGCAAGCGAGCTGGTTGCTTTGTATCACATCTGAGCGCGTCTTGACCCAAATACTTCCTTTCTAGGTCAGCGCTGCTGGATGAGAAGCGCCGGCTGGAAGCTCGTATTGCACAGTTGGAGGAAGAGCTCGAGGAGGAGCAGAGCAACATGGAGCTTCTCAATGAACGGTTCCGAAAGACCACGCTGCAGGTGAACCTGTTGCTGGCAGGCAACTTGTGTTTCAGTGTGCAGCTAAGTGGAGGCTCTGAGTACCACCAAATGATCTTCTATTCTTCTCCTCTGAAAGGTTGACACGCTTAATTCTGAGCTAGCTGGGGAGCGGAGTGCTGCCCAGAAGAGTGAAAATGCACGGCAGCAGCTGGAAAGGCAGAACAAGGAGCTAAAAGCCAAGCTGCAGGAACTGGAGGGATCTGTGAAGTCGAAGTTCAAGGCAACCATTTCTACTCTAGAAGCCAAGATTGTGCAACTAGAAGAACAGCTTGAGCAGGAAGCCAAGTAAGGAAAAAAAATCTGTGTGCCTGTGTTTGCTCTGTCAGTTAATGTCCAACACCTCCATTAAGTGTCTGTAGGGTGAGATGTGGGCCTGCAGCACAGGAACTAGGCTTTGGTATATAGAGAAAGCTGCTGGTCAGGGGACGAGGCAGCTGCGAAGTAACTGGGATGGAAAGCTTCAGGATCATCTTGCTCTATAACTGAAACTGTGGAATTAACTCTTAAAGTGAACCAGGTGAATACGTTGGACTGGGAGTCAACAGGCAACAGCTTCCTGGGCAGCCCCAGGATCCACAGGTGCTGCACAAGTTTCTCGACACAAGATAAAACCTCTCCGTGAGACGCCTGGCCTCTGGTTAGAGGAAGCAGGTTGAGCTTAGGTGTGACAGCTTGAGTTGAGGTGAATCCTGTGCTCTGCAAAGTCTGTCTGCAGCGAGCTCTCCCGCTGTCCTTTTCCATCTTGGCCCTCCACACGTTTTACTAGTTTTTCCTCCTAGAATCCACAGGTGGGCTCAGTGCCACCTCCATTCTCTCTGGGCGTCTGGCTCTGTGGAAGGATGGTGTTACTGGTTAGCAGGAACTTTAAAGCTGCTCTGGTCACTCTTGTTGTGACGTGCCTTGTCCCCCGTTCTAGCCTGCACACCACACCCGTATTGCTCCGGTGCCGTGGCTTCACACGTTCAAAGCCGCATCCAGCCACCCGCTGGCACACGAACGCTGTTGGTTCTACGGGGGTGGCAGACAGGCCTCCAGTGTCGGTCACAAGGAGGCCTTGCCTCACAATGAGCCTTCCGGAGAGGACAGATCTTGTGTTCCCAGCCTTCAGGTACATACAAATTATGCCTTTGGGATATTCTAGTGAAAGAGCAGCTGCTAACAAACTGGTGCGTCGTACAGAGAAGAAACTGAAGGAAGTTTTCATGCAGGTGGAGGATGAGCGTCGACATGCAGACCAGTACAAGGAGCAGGTAGGTGGGGGCACTTAGCTTTTGAGGCTAAATAAAACCATAGTATGAGCAGAAGAGGCTTAGAATCACAGACTGGTTTGGGTTGCAAGGGGCCTTAAAGGTTATCTAGTTCCAACCCTCCTGCCATGGGCAGGGACACCTTCCACTAGACCAGGTTGCTCCAAGCCTCATCCAGCCTG